CATTAGAAAGTTGAGAAGAAATACAGTACTAAACTTTTCCCATAAATTAATATTTAAACAAAAAAGTCATCTTGAAGGAATAAAAGTAAAAGAAAATTAATACAGAGTGTATAAATCATTAAAACTTTAAACTTGAGTCCTTTGAAATTGAATACAACAGGTTAATCCCAAAGGAATCATTGTTTTTTCTTGCCTTATTAAACGCTTTGCTAAAATACCTGACTAATTCATCACATTCTGACCGCAAACATGGAGAAGCAAGCTACAGTCAATGTTATCCTGAAAATCGTGTGTAAAAGCAACAGAACAAAATATAGCACTTACAGTCGCCAAAATGTTCCAATATTCGATAGTTTGAATGAGATGAAAGAGTATTTGCTAAGAAACTTCGCTGTGGAACTGTCCCCTGCTGATGATGAACAGTCATTCAAGCTCGGCTATATTGCTGGTAGAAACAGACGGGTAGTTATGGTGAACGATGGCAACCTGGTTGAAGCATACTCCATGGCTAAAGACGGTTGGATAACGTTGTGGGCAGAGGCTGCAGACTTTCCAGCTAAATCGAATTGCAAGGGAACCAAGAGAGCCCGCTTAGATGAAAGTGATGATGATGATAATGGTATACGTGTTTCATTTGAAAAAGCGTTGTTTATAACCTTTCCTAAATGATTTTAGGTATTAATCTTTAAATGTGTAGCACAAACTTCATCTTCAGCAGCCGATATGGGGAGCATAATGTCGCTATTACAAAAGAAGAATGGAGGCGACTATGCCGAATTCAAACTCAGAGTTTGGGCTAAAATGTTGTTAAGTGTAGTGCATGTTAAATGCATTATTAAAACAATGAATTTCAATAAAGGTTCAATAAGGTTGACATCAATAATCAAATGTACTATAGGAACGCAAAAGAATGAATGCAAAATTCACAGTTTGAAATACGTGTTATACACGTTGGCACAATTTGTACAATGTCTCGGTAATCAATTGATCTAAGCATATTGAAATTTATGATTTTGCCATATCATTCTTTTACCGTTCATATTGTACATTTGCTACTGTCAATATCAACCTTAATAATTGAAATAGCTGCAATTATTTGAAGATTTTATAAACTACACTACTGAAATGGAAAGCAATCATGCCATCATTTTCTTTACAAAGTTTCACTTATATTGTTTGAAGAGCAACGGCACACACAGCAGTTATGACATGCCTCCAAAAATCCCGTTTTTCACTGGATTAAAGGCGGGCCAGGTACGAAACAATCCAACAGCGTCAACCCCTGCAGTGACGCCAATTTCAGCTGCTACAGCATCAGCAACAACCACTGTAGCTACACACACAACAATGTCAATGCCTCAATCGATGGAAGCAAAAGTATGTGAATTTCTGTTTTTTTGCAGTATTATTTTTAGATAATGTATTTCTGAAGTACTGACATTGTACGGAGGCTTTTTCCCAGTGGTAATTAAAGCTACAGCCTTCACAATCAAGCATGATGTGCTAATAAGTAAGGGACAGGGAAATTTAGGGAAGGCAAATATCTCGACTGACCAAACAATGCAATTAGATAATTGCATGCATGCATGTAGCATATGACAAAAGGCTATTGATATATGTATAGCTTAGTCGATGCGTTTTATCAAACTGAAGTATTTCATCACATATTTAGGCAAAACTCCGCTCAATAATAATTCAGCAATTGAAAGACCTGAAAGTCCTCAAAGAGAGTGGAGTTTTAGACGCAGAAGAATTTGAAGCACAAAAAAAAAGCTTGTAAATGAATTATCAAGTTTATAAAATAATACCAATTTTTACAGATTATATAATTATACAGGGTGTCCCAAAAAAATGTCCCCTCTATTGAAATCAAGCCTTTGTTAGAATCTGATTGCCTTAATATTATGATAAACCCAATTGAAAGCAAGAAGCTTTATTTGAATGCCTCAACCTAATAACTATGCTATTTACACACTACTGCGTTGATCATGCATTCAAATTCCAACAAAAGCTTCATTTCAATAGCGGGGACTTTTTTTGGGGGGACACCCTGTATGTTTACATGTAGCCAGCGTGATGTATGTAGTTTCTTATTTCTTCATCTGTACTCTGCAGAAATGATTCCCATACCATTAATTCCTGATCTGGGCAATTTTGCCATGCGATGTCGTTTTGGCGAATATAGCTTTTGGTCTGAGCAAAGAGCTCTTCACAAGGCATGAAATCCGGCGAATAAGCTGGCAAGAAAATTAGCATTGCCCCAGTAGCATTAATAGCATCAATAACGTCTTGCGTGTGATGTATTGCAGCATTGTCTACAAGAATAAAAAAGTTAATTACCTTTGAAAATTATAAATTTTACGCAGTACTGTATGCATGCAGTAAGGGAATGATTTACATTACCAAGTATGACAATGGAACGTGGATTAAAACCATTAAACGGCAGCAGGCATGGAGCAAGGATATTGTTGACAAAGGCAAGAAATATTTCGCCATCTACGTGTCCTCGGTAAACACCAATATCTAGCAGGCCTTCCATACATATCACTGGAATTGCGGTTATGCGTGGATTCCAGCTTGTATGTCGACGATATATTCTTGCAGGCTGTCCACACAAATTGTAGCCGTATGTTCGCATGATTCGCTTATCCTGTGGAAATATTTACTTATTATTATGAGTAAATGAATTGTATACTAAATCTCAAGAGACGGTTCGCTATACGGTGACCCCATGTTGAAATTATTTTCAATACAAAAAATGCTTTTGTCGTTAAACTTACAAAGCCACTTTCGTCTAAAAAAACGAACATTTCTGGGGAGAATAAGCATGTTGAAGCACGAAATTCTTTCCTTGCATCTTCAGATCTTTGTTGTGCAATTTTGGTAAGCTATAATTAAAAGTCAGATTGTACGATTTTGTTAGTTGATATGTAGACATTTCTCTAGAATTCTTTATAAATGGATATTGACTCGTTCGTTATGTCTTGCATATATTTACTAACCTTCTTTCGTGTTATGCCGTTTTTCTTCAAATAATAGTGCAGAGTCGAGCACGCATACTGCGACCCTGTTTCCTCATACACTTTGTCCAGTATTTCGGCAATGGTTTTTTCTGGATATTGCTGCACCAAGTCAATAATCACAAGCTCTTCGTGAGGATGTATTGATATGCAATTGTACGGCCGGCCGATGATAGCTGTGTTGATATTTCCCAATTCTCTGAACCTTCTTACATAACGTTTTATTGTTGACTGTGATATTTGCAGATAAAAACTCACTTGCTCTAACTCAATATCTAATATTTCGGCTAAGAAGATTGCTCTCCAGCGTATATCTTGACTGTATGGGGCCGGCATTGCAACAAAATAATGTGGTTCATTAATTCGCATGAAAATTCCCGAAGTTCTTTGCGCGCTCAATGTCCAAGATACATAAATACATAACTGCAAAAGTCAACCTTTTTTGAATTGACTGTATATATATATATATATATATATATATATATATATATATATATATATATATATATATATATATTTGGCCTCAAAAATTTTGGCTGTCCAGTTTTATTGAGTTCAATTGTCCATACTGATTTACTGGAGTACTGACTGATTCTGATATAAAAAAATATTACTTGGAAAGCTGGTCTGTCTATTTGTTGAATTTAAATAAAGTATGAAGCTTGTAAATGAAGCTATTATTTGCTGCCAGTTCATCTACTTTATGCACTGAAACAAGAGGTTTTACCTCATGTAAAAATGTAGATTTACAAAATTTTATGTAGATATTTGTATTAACTTAGCTGTGTTTTAATGCACACAACTCACAAACCCTGCTTGGAGTTATTACTATCAGTAATACCCCGCAGACAGGTTTTAAAACTTGTAATATTATATCCTTTATTTTTAAACTGAGAAAATAATAAAAAGTCTATTATCCCCGAGCGGGCGCGGAGCGCCTGCGAGGGTACTAATTCCGCTCGGAGATTAGGAGTTACACCCGGAACCCGGTAGAACATAGCCGAACCAAAGTTGTCCAAATTCTTTGTCATGGACGGTCGACGTTGGGTGGTTTTGTAAGTTATGCGCATGCGCGAGTAACGTCTGGTAATCAACGAACGTTCTGATTGGCTAAGACAAAAAATTTGTATTTCAATGAGAACGTCAGCAATTTAAATTAACTGTCATTTCGTAAACATTTTTGTAATTTGTAAAAGCGTTTCATAAACTTTGTGCAAAGAAAGTAAAACGAGAAGAAACAAGATATATGAAGCATGACAGTTAGCAAAGATGAACGTGGATACGGTCAAGACAAAGCCGTGTAAGAGGAATAATTCATAATCTGCAAACTTATAAATGTTTTCAAAGACAAAGGGTACGTGTTTACTTTGTTTTTTTCGTATTTGTTTCGCGATAAGAAAGCCGTATTTGTATACTTTTCAGCTTTGTATGGCGTTTATTTGTAAAATTTTCAGCTTTTTATGCAAACGCATGCATAAACCTGTGAAAGGCTATTACACCTTTGCTTTAACTTCAAAAAGTGTTTTTGAAAGTGTAATTTGAATTTTGGTATAAAAAATACACACTATATTTATAAAGTATAAAACTTTTAGCCGCCGGCGTCGACTGCAAGATACAGAATAAAATAACATTTGAAGTTTTTTCTTTGTCTGTGAAGATTTTGTACTGTTTTAATCGTTTGAAACTTCGATTTTAAACCGTTACTTAATTGCTGGCATGGTATAATGCAGCAAAATTGAACGGGCAATGTACACTAGCTTTATGATTATTTTTGTATTGAATGATGGAAACATTAGCTATAATATACTCGGTAAAATATAATAGGACTGATTTGAGTTTTGTGTCATTTCATAATATAAGTTTAGGTCAGGTTAACTAGTGTAGATTAATTAAATTCAAATTTTTAACTACCACTTTAATTCATATTAAAAGTGGGTTGGTAATTTCATAGATATATTGTACAGTACAGATATAACTAACCTTGCTCTACTGTCAGCCACACAAGACTCTGATCCTCTTTGCCATCAATCCCTGAGCACTTGAGTCGTTTTATTATCCATTGGGTAAGCACATTGCAGGATGATGGACTACAATCTTTGGTGGTGATCAAGATACCATTGCCATTTCCTCCTACTTCACTTCCAATACAATGGGTATCCACCAGAAAAAATGACTCAGCATGTATCCCAAGAACAAATGTGTAAGGACTACATGTGTACAAACCAACACATGTCTTTTCACTAGCTGCTTTTTGACCAAGAGATTTCATAAGTTCTTCACGCCCGCCATATGAAAACACTTTCTTTCCTTTTACAAACTCTTCTGACAGTTCATATGAGAAAGTCAAAAGATTTATTGATTTCAAAATATCATAAGCCTCTGATACATCATAGGTTGATGTTAAATCTCTGGAACCATGCAATTGCAAGGGAAGGTTGTTGATCATATGTTCACTAATGTCAATGATTCTTCTCCAATTAACTTCTCTAGCTTCCGCAATATCATGCAAAATCTGATCACATATTCCAAGACCAAGAAACGCGCAGCAGTTAGTCCCATCATTGACTGGGGCTTGCAATGTCTCTGCGAATGATGTCATTTCATTGAGTACAGCAAACTTCCCATCTGATCTTTCAAGTGCTGTATTCTGACTAACTGCCAGGTGTTTCAAAATCAGCTGATTCGCAGGTTGACTGGTGAGTATGTCCAACACTTGAGCTGCAGTAGGTCTTTGGTTTGGTAGAAAATTTGAACAAAGTTTAAAACATTCCTCCACTTGCCACCACTCTGATACCCGAATACTCTCATACTTCTCATCATGAAGTGGGATACAATGATTCATCAATAAATCCTTATCAAAGGATAGTCCTGTATTTTCAAGTTCCTTACTATATGGGCTCATCACATTTGGGTTTAAAATGGAATACATTACCATTCCCAAAGACCATATATCACATTGCTGAAGTTCAGCTTGACTTGCATTCTTAAGATTTTCCAAATAAAGTTCTGGTGCCATGTACATTGGAGTTCCACGAAAAATTGAATCTGTCCTTGACTTAAGTAGTGAGTGCGTTTGAAATTGAAGGCTTCTGCTCAGTCCAAAGTCAGCAAGTTTGCAAACTATTGGGCACTGGGCAAATGTTTGCTACAACTCCTGGTCTTGTTTGGAGGTGTAGTGCAAGTTGCTCACAAGAACATTGCTAGGCTTTAAATCTCTGTGTGCAATGTTTCTTTTGTGGAGGAAATCAAGCCCAGATGCTATGTCTTTTGCACATACTGGTACAATTTCGTGAAAAGAAGAGAAGTCGTATTCGTCATCCACAAAATGTACGAAATCTTCCAACGTCGTGACTGCTTTATCTGGGCCAAATGGATTAAAGTCAAATACAGAGTATTCCATAACGATTGCAAATGGGTTATCACAAAACGCTTGAAATTGAGAGATATTGTCATGTCTCTTTAAATCATTCAACATTTTGGCCTCTTTGATAAATCTTTTCTTCGCATCTCCTGACTCACTTTTCAGCTTTTTAATGACGACTCTCTCTTCCGTACTCAAATATTTTCCAATATAAACTTGCCCGTAAGCTCCACTTGCTAACTCTCTTTCGATTTTGACTTGATTCCAAACAAAACGTGGAAGACCATAATCGGCTTTTGTTTTGCTTTTTAACAATGACGGTAGTAGTTTAAACGCCCCCGCCATTGTTGAAAGACGGCGGGAAACTTCCACTAGTTTTAGCCATACTTTCAAATTTCAATTTCAATTTTAAATTAATTTTAAAATTTTTTATCATTGATGCAAGGCATGTCTTGAACAAAATTTGTGTTTAATGGTTCAAACTGTGGATATAGGACATAGCCCTGGTCGTAGTGCAATACAACGGTATCTGCAAAATACTATACTGTATATAGTACGTAACTTGATTTCTAGTAAATAAAAGACCAATACAGCGATACTAACAATAGTTGCTTGGGTGCTTTGGTGATTAAGTTGCAGTTTTTAAGTTTTTGTCGACTAATGGCGAAAGTTTCTTTAATGAACGATAGCTTAGTTTAGCCACCACAGGCACTGACTGGCAATTAAAACTAATCTTTTCGAGCCAAACTACATGGAATTTCAAAATACGCAATAAAAAATGTTCATGTAGAGCTCTTACTTATTTTGGATAAATGCACCATTTTTGGTATTTGCAATATATTGAGAGATAAAAACAAAGCAACATTTACAACATGGCATTGCAGTAATGAAGAAATACATTAAATAACAACAAATCATAACATTGCCACAATGGTATATCTCCGCTTTAAAACTCTCATTTACTAGTTTATTTAAAATAGTAAATGTTTTCCATGTCCGTTTTTTCCATGTCCGCGTTTTCCATGTCCGTGTTTTCCATGTCCGTGTTTTCCATGTCCGCGTTTTCCATGTCCGTGTTTTCAATGTCCGCGTTTTCCATGTCCGTGTTTTCCATGTCCGTGTTTTCCATGTCCGCGTTTTCCATGTCCGCGTTTTCCATGTCCGCGTTTTCCATGTCCGCGTTTTCCATGTCCGTGTGTCCGTGTTTTCCATGTCCGTGTGTCCGTGTCCGTGTGTCCGTGTCCACGTGTCCGTGTCCGCGTTTTCCAGCTAACCCTTCTAATCGTACAGTTCAACTGCTAATGGTCAAATCAGCTAAACTAATAATGGTGTAGCTAACAACCGAACAACGAGTTTTTATTGTCGTGCATGATAACTTGAATGCTAACTGTCGACCTTGTAAAATAAATTGTAAATAACATTTTACTCGTTAAATACTTTCAATTCAGCTCGTTGGTTTACGCACCCGACTTTGTTTACCGACGATTGTGCCGCTAGAATATGATTACAAGCTTTCTCGCATTCCAGGGGCCAAACGTCTTTTGTGTTGTAGAACAAAGAGGATATTCATGAATATTAAGTGGTTGCGTTTTTTTTTATACACCCTGTATATTATAAAACTTTTATTTCATGTATTATAAAGCTTTTCACAATTTTACAATCTTCAAAATGTTGTTTTTTGGAATTTGACGTGAGACCGGATTTTAGTAACGATTTTTCAAGACACTAACTTTGTGCGTGTCCGTAATAATAGTATCTAATAGTATCCACGTTCAGCACACACTATCTGTTTTTTTGTCAGTTTTTGTCTGTCCTTAAAATAAATTTTTGTCGAAGTTCTTGTATTTCTCTGCTTCTTGTCGGTTAGGGACCTTGTTAATCACTTAATCTCAAACTTTCTATGTTTTAACTATTTTACAAAAACATTTCAGCGAATAACTGCTTTAATTTGCGAATTTATTATTATTATTATTATTAAAACTTTATTTCATGAGGGGTTCACATTGTTACCTTAAGGTATTCTTCCCAATGGCCCTCAAAAGGTAATATGAAAGGTTTCATCGCGAGAAACATTGGCAACTGTTGTGAGAATATTTTCATAATTTTAGTCTTTTTCGAATTGAGGGACATTTTGTTGTGAGTAGTCCAATGTGACACTGAAGTAACGTCCGACTTTAGGGAGTCACTAAGTTCGCGGACATTAGTTCCGGAAGAAATAATAGTAGAGTCATCCGCAAACAAAAAGGGCTTGGACTTGTTGATGTAGATGGGTAAATCATTAATAAAAACCAGAAAAAGAATTAGGCCAATTAACGTGTTTCTAACATAAGTGTACATACGTCGTTCACTGCCTAGAACAAAGATTTGGGTTCGGTAAATACCTGAAAAATTTTGATCTTAGCGAATTCTTGTTATTGTAAAAACAGCCACATTCACCATAGGCAGCCCAATTATGTATGCATGTTTATATACTAATATATATTATATATATATAGTAAATTATATAAACATGCATACATAATTGGGCTGCCTATGCATCACTTAACACCTGTGCGTGATTAGTTCAGCTTGATCGGTTTCATAATCATGTTACCACATATTTTGTATTAGACCTGTTTTGTATTATATATTATAAAACTTTTATTTCATGTATTATTATAAAGCTTTTTACGATTTTACAATCTTCACGAATTTGACGTGAGACCGGGTTTTAGTAACGATCTTTCAAAACACTAACTTTGTGCGTGTCTCTAATAATAGTATAATAGAAAAAATGTCCACGTTCAGCACACAATATCTGTATTTTTGTCGGTTTTTGTCTGTCCTTAGTATAATTTTTGTCGGAGTTCTTGTCGGTATTTCTCAGCTTCTTGTCGGTTCTTGTCGGTATTTCTCAGCTTCTTGTCGGTTCTTGTCGGTATTTCTCAGCTTCTTGTCGGTTTTTGTCGGTTCTTGTCGGTATTTAGTATGTGAGACAAGAGGTCTTCTTTACCTAGACCGTGAGCGTTGTCTTACGGAGGGGTTAAGAAAATCATTCCACCATTTTCACGAGTTTACGTTAAACTGCGGATCGCCGATTGGAACTATATTGATGTCGGCAAGAGGTACATGTCGCCGATGCAATGGAAAGTTATTAGTAGAGGGGAATGGCCATGTCGTAGTATTTTATCACATATATTTCGGTAGCTACCTTGGTTCTCGAGTGACGAAATCATGTCGCAAATGCAAACTGTACGAGCATTATGGCGGTTGGACGGAAGGCGGTAAACAGTATTTTGACGAAGATTGCTTACGAAATGAATTTTTGTTGACGTCTGAGGAAACTGCATTTCACCTGCCTTTACTTGAAGAGTGTAGAAGTTTGCTCCTGGTTGGCGCGTTGCCTTTCGCGTCTTTTGCTGGATCATACAACCACAGGTTTGGTTACCAAAAAGTGAAGGATATGTGCGACAAATCGAAAGCAAAGAGAATGAAAAGGTTAGTAATGCTAAAATCGTGCGACGTAGAGCAAATGAGCAATATAATAGTCTGAAATTGACTGGTTCATCATGCAAAAAAACCATTGCAATTTACCAGTTTTAAGATGGTATTCATCTCTAGGGAAAGAATGCAGAACATTAGTTTAGATATAGTATATTGATTTGGGGCACGATTAATATAATGGTTGTAAATTGTAATTTCATCGAATGAAATTTTTAATTTCATAGAATGAAATTTCATTTTCTACATGTGCATGTTAACTGAGGTAGTTTAACACATATATTGTAAAAGATGTATCCTGTTTTAATGATATATTTTAATGGTTGGCTTCATGGCTTGTGTACTGGGGCCATTGAATTTGTTATTTCAATAGTATGCAAGAGACAGCAGTGATACATAATGAGTAATTAAGGGTAATGTGTAACCTAGTTACCTTATTTTCAAATAATTTATGTTAGCGGGGCAAACGTATGGTTGATTAGGTATTATATAGGGTATAGAAAATTTACACTACCCTTGGATCCCTCATTGAAGGAGTAACATGTTCTCTATAGCATTGTTTTTTTACGTATATTATGTATTTATTGCAATACATCCCCCAAAACAAGTGTTTTTTGTCATATGAATGAGAGTAATATTACATATGTACCAGTATATATAATATTATATGCACTATTGATGTTTTGTATTCAGAGATTTGCCATCAGAGCAGAAGGCATTACTGAAAGCATAGGCGTACGGGCGCAACTTCGTTTGGGGGGGCAAAAAAAAATCGCCCGAATTTTTGAATTACACAATGTGCCCGAATTATAACTTTTACCAGATTTGTAACAATAGATTTGGCAAAGCGGCGGATGTACTTTTAAGAAAGTATAACAAAAATAGCGAAATAGAATACAAATATGTTATATATATTACAAAATTTGGTTTTAAAAATTTTAGCTATGTAATTTAGCTTTCAGTTTGCCCGAAGTTTCGGCTGAACTTTGCCCGAATTTCTTGATTCTCGAAATTTTTGGGGGGGCAACTGCCCCCCCTGCCCCCCTGTCTCGTACGCCTATGACTGAAAGTGAGGCAGTTTATGGATAGAAGAGGACTGGAGGAAGGCTTTCTACTATTTGCTGGCTTAGAGGTTAAACTGGAGTACTCATTGATTGATATTAGAGAGCATTCCTTATGACAAGACCGAGCTGACAAAGATTACTGTGCAACAATATGAAAGTGTGTTTTATAGAAAGTGGACAGGTATATAAAGAGATTATACACATCCTTAAATCATTTAAATAATGTTTAGTTGTGATTTTTTTGTTGATCATGTAAATGTATGCAGTATGTCATGTTGATTGCATGTTATTAAATTACTGTAAGTAGAATAAGTGGAAACATGATCCAGTCAGAAAGGTGTGTTTAAGAGTTGATCACTTGCATTGTAAATCATTTTTGTGCTGTACCTGGGTGCAAAACTGTTATCGTAATCGATGGTAACATGAAGAATGCAAGGCAGGTTTGCACATGCACAGATGTTGGAGAGCTATATTTTGATGGAATGCCAGGAAGCATTCTTGTTGGTATGTTTAACAATTTATTTAAAGGACATGTAAGCCTGCTGTACAAAGTGTTAATTAATTTACTTCCGATATATATAAAATGTTTTCAATTGTTGAATATAGGTTGTCAAAACACTCCTGGAAAAAAGAGTCGTTTCTGTACAGAACATGAAAACTCTGCATGCTCTTTGAGAGATGACTCGGCTGTTATGATGGGGGAGCCTGCTTCTAATGTGTTGAAGGATGAGGACACTACTGATGTCTTGCCCATGAAGATTGTAAATGAAAGACAGACACGGCAAGGGATGTTTCATGAGGTAAGCAGTTACATTACATGCCTTAGTCACTAGTGCATGTGGATATTATTAGTACCATGCAGTCATGATTATTAATTTTTTGTGAATATAGCTGAATAACACAGTAGATTTCAACATATCATATGGCTTCAGCAGTACTAGATGAACCAGTATTGCGAACTAGTTAATGAACCAGTTAATAATATACAACAGGTTTGTCAGAGTCTTTGAACTCTGAGATGGGTATTTAACTTGAGTTGTTGCCATAGCATAAAAGCTGTTTAAACGTGTCTCCAGGGGAGATTAACGAATCACGCGTTTTTGTCTAAGTGAACTTTTGGTAGATATATTCTGACGGGAAAACGTAATATTTTTTGTATAGACTCGCGAGATCATGGCTCGTCCAAAATTCTGCTAATATATAGGCGATTTCTTTTGCTTTTCGAGAATAGATGCATGAACATCCGAAATGTTTGGATACTATACGAAAGAGTACATATGTTTTGTCAATATCGCAGGTTCTGTGGTCGAATTCATCGAAGACTTGGGTGAAGAAAATTCATTTACCTAAGAAGCTTTTAGATGCCATAAGGAACGGTTGTGTTTACAAAAACGTTCGAAAAGATACGAAAGAATTTGGTCAGACGTTCAGTGTACTAGAGGAGTGTATGGATGATAAGCATGATGGTGGCTCCATGCAATGTTTTTAAAAGGTTATTATGCCTTTATGGCAAGAATTATGCCATTAGCCATTGTATTTATAGTTGCTTGGTTGCGTACCTTATATCCTGTTTTCTAGCTGAGTGGAAGTGCATTAGCAATTTGGCATTCCCTATGTATGACGAAATTTTCTTTTTCATAATTTTTCTTATAGCTCCGGTTTTGCTGTAGCTGACCCTGATGATAATCAGGTTGAGGGTGAGAGTGGTGTCCGAACACTTAGTTGTGGGACTGAAAAGGGAAGGCATAGGTGCAAAAACAAAAGAACCACAGGTTTGCAATGTTTTATCGCATGATTTATTTACGAGATTTATAGTAAAATCTAGGTTAGGAAATAATGAGAAACAATTGGAAAATAGGTGTAAGTGGGGAGTAATATTTCTTGAAGATGACATTTGGAATATTGAGGATTGAGAGACAAAGTGAAGCGTATATTGACAATTTGTTGCTGGTCATATCGTAATGTAGTCAGTATAATTATAACATGAAATGTGATAAAATTTATATAATATATTTATACGGTAAATGTATGTGTGGTTTTATCTTTGCAGGAATTTTAGTATTCGAAAAACCGTGTGGCGTTGTGGTTGGTGTTTGTGAAATGTTCGGATCTGAAAGTAAAAGTCAGGTGTATGCACATCTGCATAGTCTGTTGGCAAGTGGCAGGCGTCTCATCGTCCAACATCTGATCCTGCGACGATCCTTCAACATCTGATCCTGCGACGATCCTTCATCACAAAGATGTGATATTAATTTCTAAGTCACAAATATTACTTAGGTATTAATGTACCATACCATCTGATCCTGCGACAATCCTTCAACATCTGATCCTGCGACGATCCTTCATCATCTGATCCTGCGACGATCCTTCATCATCTGATCCTTCGACGATCATTCATCATCTGACAACAAAAGTATGATATGAATAATTTCCAAGAGAGAAATGTCACTTATGTATAAAGCACTCAGGATAAATTATACCGAACCTCCAACACTCCAACGTCAGTCACTCGTGGCCTTCGCATTGCGCACGCGAATACAAAATGTCATGCACGTTTTAATACAAAATGTCATCCACGTTTTAATACAAAATTTCATGCACGTTTTAATACAAAATGTCATGCACGTTTTAATACAAAATGTCATGCACGTTTTAATACAAAATGTCATGCACGTTTTAATACAAAATGTCATGCACGTTTTAATACAAAATGTCATGCACGTTTTAATACAAAATGTCGTGCACGTTTGAATACAAAATGTCATGCACGTTTTAATACAAAATGTCATGCACGTTTTGGTACGAAATGTCATACACGTTTTAATACAAAATGTCATGCACGTTTTAATACAAAATGTCATGCACGTTTTAATACAAAATGTGATGCACGTTTTAATACAAAATGTGATGCACGTTTTGGTACAAAATGTCATGCACGTTTTAATACAAAATGTCATGCACGTTTTAATACAAAATTTCATGCACGTTTTAATACAAAATGTCATGCACGTTTTGGTACAAAATGTCATGTACGTTTTTGTACAAGAAAGCAAGAACACTGGACTATCATTTCCTTCAAAAAATACATAGTTCATGTTTTTATGTTTTAGGCGCTCTCTGAGCGATATTTTCGTCCGGACTATATAGCCGTCAAGATGGAGAAAACACAAGTGATTGGGGCCCCAGAATCACTTGTATTCACTCCGCATGCGCTTGATACGACCAGACTTCATGCAAAAATCATGCACAGGCGGAAAACTTGAAAATGAAGGAGGTAAACAGAAGAGTGTTCAGTTTATATCTCAGTCAAAAAAGCCAAATTCCATGCAATTTTTACTCATGCATACTGTCGAAATCGAGTTTTGTATTTGCGTGCATAAATGTCCGAAGGCAGGTCCGACATCTCTTTACGATTCTTTCGTTCTACAAAAACAGAACTTCGGTAAAACAAAAGGACAGGGAAGTCTAGCATAGTACAATCATATACCAATACAAATAATTGTATAGGCATTGAGTTTCAATCCGTCTTTCCCTTTCAAAACGAGCATTCCCTTTGGGCAACCCTGTCCGAAAAACGAATAGGCCAGCCGGGAAAGTTAGTTACAGTCATAAAGTTCGAATTCATTTCTATATATCAAAAACTATTCTAGTTTCGTTCACCGTGACCGATGGCCAGAAATCACGGACAAAATGGCGGCTAAATCGATTTCTTATGCGCACAATTAACTTATTTTACGAAACCAAGATGGCGATTATTGTATGGTATTCCATTACCAACAATATAAAATCGATGCGCACAATGAAATGTATAATGATTTGCACGTTCCACACGTCTAGAAATAGTGTGACCTACATGAAAATATAGTTCTCGAGGGTTTTGACGTCTCACGATTTGCCTTCAGCCGGCCCGAGTTAGGTCGACTCAATACATTTCCACACAATATAAGCTTCTATTAAATTCAGTAAATCCTCCCTACTCGCTCACATTTGGTCTATTATAGCGCTGTCGAAAAAGTTTGCCGACAACTTCCACACCTCTATATTTGTTGTACGATGTTCGATCTACTATTGCGTATAAGTTTTAAAACACCAGAGTTTTTAGCTAAGCGGCCCCAACACTTTAAAATTGTCTGTTTTAAGGCAAAGTAAAACCTGAAATTCCAGCCATTGTGAGCGGTTTGTGGCAGAAAAAAACTCGAAATGTTGCCAAATACAACGCAGAAAATGCCTTTCTGCTTCGCCATTTTATAATCATTTTGAAGGACAACCGCTGACTAACAACTGCGTGGGAAACAGGCTCCAAAACAAAAGAAATTGCGCCAAATGCAAATATATTCAAATTTTTTTGGACGTCTTCTAAAGTTTGGAAAGTTGTAATATCTTTGTTATAGTTTTGAGAAATTCCATCCTTCAGTTTTTCACTGAATAATCATCTATCCCTGGATCAGAGTTCTACAAAATGTCTGATATACCTCCAGATCATTGCATTTTAAAATGGAAATTATGTATTGAGGAACCCTCATTAGCATATGCAGGAAAAACTAATGCAAGGCCAGTTCTTTTTGCAGTGGGGATTCCATACCCACTTTTAAAATTATGGCAGGAATACATGGTAAACCAGAAGGAAAAGAAGAATTTAGCAACAGCTGAGAATGAAAATTCTTGCCCAAATCATTGTTGTCTAGATTATGTCGACCTATTCGAACTTTCAATACCTGGGATGTCTTTGGAATTACAAAAGACAGAACTATCAGAAATGAAGTCAACACTTCTTTGGAAAAGTTTGCAGGAATGGTAAAGACTGCATACAACAAGGCCAAGGGGGGGCGCAAGAGAAAGGAACTTGATTCCAAAGTTAGAAGATTCCAAATCTTTGAAGAGATGGTCATTTCTGTGAAGGATTTGCAAAGAGAAAATGAGAATATTTGTGATGATCTAGAAAAGTGGAAGAAAAGTTACAAGAATCTTCAAGAAGAAAAAGAGAAGCTTTATGTGGAGATGGTTTCTGCTTTGAAAGAGAAAGATGAAGAAATTAAGAATCTGCATGATGTAAACAAGGAACTACTAGTTTATATTGACCGCCTTGAAGAGAAACACAATTTTGTAAATAAGGGCAAGGATATAGCCCATGTTGCCAAAAAATCAAGAACTCTAAAAACCTTTCTGTCAAGAGCAAAAATAGCACTCTGGTTTATGAAATCATTTGGTCTTGAGTTAACAGAGCTAAAAGCTGTGGAACAGCAGACGGGTATAGTCCATCATCTTAGTGTTGATGACACTATTCCAACTGATGACAGCAAGGGCTTTGACAGCTTATCAAGCCAAGACCAAAAAACAATAGAACAATGTTGTTCTTGCTGACAAATTTGCATTGGAGATTCATTTTATCATGAACTCACAATGATCATTGATGGGCTTCCTAAGTCATATCTTGTTAAACAGAGAAGAGGGCAACTTAATGACATCAGTAATGTTGTCCCAACCCCAGGTAATGCTGATGGTGCCCAAATATCATTTACTGATATGTTAAAAGCTCGTGTTGAAGAATTTGTTAAATTACATGATGAAGTAGATTGGAGTAAAGAGAAAATTCAAATAAAACTCTCTGGTGATGGGGCACGAATGACAAGAAATTCAAGTTTTATTTTGCTTTCATTCTCTCTACTACAAAACCAAGATGATGTGATGTCTGCCAGTGGAAACCACACATTCGCTATTGTTAAGGGGTCTGAAAGCTATGAAACACTGAAAGACTCATTTGGAATGATTTTTCAGGAGCAACAACCTAATCCAGGTTAGTGAAATCACAATCAATAACTCAAGATTAAATCTTGAGTTCTTCCTTGGGGGAGACTACAAATTCCTACTCCTCATGCTTGGCATGAAATCAGCGACATCAAATTTTGCATGTGTTTGGTGCATAATTCACAAGGATTCCCGGTGGGTAATGGACAAAGACTTGGAGTATTATAACTCTGCCCCCCTCAAACGCACACTGCAACAAGTTATTGACATGGCAAAAAAGAATGGTTCAAAGGACAAGTATTCTTGTGTCAATGAGCCACTTGTTAAAATTGACTTGGATCATGTTGTACTGGATGAGTTACATTTATTACTAAGAGTAATGGATGTCTTATTAAACAATATTATTCAGGAAGTTATTTCCTGGGATATGAAAGAAAATTTCAACAAAAAAAAATGTGAAAGAAATTACACACATCTCACAAATCTTCAGGCAACAATTAGATCATGCGGGGTAAGCTTTGATATATGGGAAAAGAAAACTGAGGATGGGAAGGCATCTGGGCAATACGACTTCACAAGTCTACTAGGCGCAGATAAAAAAAAGCTATTAGCTGAACTTCCAGATAAATTGGCCGATTGTCTGATGCCTGATACATGTGGGGTTGTTATTAAAATATGGAAAGATTTTGATGAACTCTACAAAATAGTAACTGCTAAACAGATAACCGATGAGATCTCTAACAATTATTTTGAAAAAGCAAAAGAATGGATCAAACTTTTCACATCATTAAAAACTGGATATATTCACAAAGGATATAGCAGAGCAGCAGTTACTCCTTACATGCATGCCCTAGTATATCATGTGCCCTGGTTTATGAAAATGTATCAATCTGTGAAATTCTTCACCGGCCAGGGGGTTGAGAAAAACAATGATGTGGCAAGGAGTGTCGTTTTGCGCAAATCAAACAATAAAAACCCAGCATCAGACATCCTCCAATTAGAATCCAGGCAGTGGGAATTACACGGCAGTCAGCGAACAAAGAGAGCTTATAACAAAAAAGATAGTAATTACTGGGAGGCAGGGATTAGGGATAAAAGAAGGAGAGTTGGATGGACATAATTACTTGAAATTACCCATTCTCTGCCAAGACAAGCCTTGTTTTGTTGCATAATTTAATGCTTTTGTCTAATAGCAAGGTCAATTGAGCAAGAATATCTAATTCCCCATGTCTATTTCTAATGAAATAAATATGTAAATAACTTAATTAACCAAAATGAGATCTCTTTTGAGAATTTCTAAGAGTTGTGGCTGTTTTGGCAAAAAAGGGTTAAGTTGTTGTTAGGTAATCACTTTCATTGATTGTGTTCATGCATGTACAAATAGGTGTTAATAATATAATTATAATGCTATCTTACACATAGAGATACTTAATTTCTCAGGGCGATATCTTGAGCTAGGAATAACTTGCCCATCCCTAAGAAGATATGTCTTTGGGCTCCATGACAGAAATGGTCTAAACTTAATGGGAAAGTCAACTGCTAAGCCATCCCCCATGCTATCCATTACTCTGTCCCAATTATTTGGAAAATTACAAGCCTGAAAATCAGACTTGTGTAGCAGCACAGCACCTCTTTCAATGCTTTTTCTCCCTTTCCACCGAAAAAGTATCTGAAAACATCATGGCGAAAGGGGATGACAGTGGGTAGTACACTTCTGGACTTAAGTTGCTCCAATATACCACAAGCTAAGGCATCTCTTGCATCCTGAATGATTTCATCAGGCATGTACAATGCTGGGTTTTCAAAAGCTCAGAAAGGTAATACAAAAATATGAGTTATTCTGATGAAATCTCTGAACATTATATTTCGAGAAGTTTAGATGAATAGGAAAAATAGTACAGTACCTTAATGCGGCAGTATTCAAATTTTCCTCTGGCTCCCAGCTATTTTGTAAGCTGGAGAAATTTCGCCATTTCACATAATACTTTGGCTGTAATAAAATTATTCGAGTGTTAAAAACAAAACCATTATCGACCAGTGAGAGCTGGGGAGAATAATTGTATACATACAGAAACAGAGAAGGTATAACTTGATTATAAAATCAATGACATTTTAAGCTATTTTAAAAATACACAGATATACTATCACGCTCACCTTCCCTTGTTGAATTCTGCGCGAAATCACTCTCTCAACTTCGAATAATTCCCTTGAAGCCCTCGTTGCCTTTCTTTTAGATGATCTCGATGTTGAATTGCATTCATAAAAGTCGGCCGTGCTCAAATTATTCAACTCTTTGTAGAAAGACATTGTCAAATCTACATATATATTTGTTTGTCGTAGATTTGAGTATATCGCGCCATATGTCCCGCGCGCGCGTGGGACATTTTCTGCGCCCACAAATAAAACCGCTGACTGTCCGTGATTTCTGGCCAGTGTCCGTGTACAAAGTACAAACGTGTTTTCTCAAGTCACAAATGCAAAATATACATATATGAATAGAACAATACCTATTATTCCGCAGCGAGCAAGCGCTTGTGTTTCGTCTTTCCCATCTTTCGGCGCCGTAGTTCCTTCTGAAATGCAAAGAAAAACAAAATCAAGTTAACAGCTCACTTGAATTTCACATTTGATATATTTCAATACGAGATATAGCAGTAAAAATCAGTGAGAAGTATTCGTCCGGTCGCTAATTGTCTTCTGGCTATTGAAATCAACATAGCGATGATTTGCGAAGCCATGGAAAGATCAAGCCAACAGATTATTTTAACCAACCATGAGCATGTACCTGAGCGATATTCCTCCAACTTTTCCGCCCTAAATTTCTTCGAGTGATCCTTTTTTCGTCGAGATTATCACAAGTCTGAGTTCCTCCTCGAAGTTTCTGTCCTTTTATTATCCGAAAAACATTCCAACGGACAATGCACTTTATACATTGATGACACTTAACAGTAAGGCTTGTTTTCAAACGTCATCTTCTCATGTGCCGAGCGAATTAACAACAATAGATAATGAGGTATTCTCATTAATTATCTATTGTTTTAAATGCGTTCGGCGCATGAGAAGCACTAAAAGAAGGCTTAAAAGCTTTAGACCCGATCCGACCCAGTTTGGCAGATTTGCATAGTTTTGCAGTCTCATGAAAGGCATATTTCTATTCCAACTTCCAATTATGTTTTCCACGTTGTTCAAGGCTAGGATAGGACATATCTCCCAGAATTAATAAATAAGAGATTTTGTAAACTATGGTTGTTGTTAAATACAAGCTAAAAACGTATTAAAAGTGTTTCACTATAACGCAATAAACTTCAGATTCTGCATGCACCAAAAATGTTTCCCATCCAACCCATGATCTGTATACTTACCTTACATGAAGTATCCATTACTGAAATTCAAGATAGCTGAAACTCGGGGCTGACCTCACGGGCGTTCTTTGTGGATGACATCAATACATTTAGTATGCGGTTGTTCACACAAACTCGTTATTTCTTCGTAAATAATCGTAGCATGTTCGTATTGATATTGCAAAACAGATCGGCGGCACAGAACTTTAAATACTTTTGTATGCGTGTTATTTTAAGTATTTACTGTGTCTATTCACATCCTCAACTATTTTGCTGATACACATTTGGATTTAATATGCATCTTTGGATCTTTGTATTCATTTCACTGGGTGAGATTATTTTTTACAAACTAAAGATTTTACAAAACTATTACAAAATGTTGAGGTGCAATATTTCTCAACTACTATAAAAATTTATGTGAGTAAATTCTCTCTATATACCCACTTCTATATATAACTCTGACTATCCCCTACGTTACCAACCAAAAATAATATTTGCATCCAGTAGCACCGGCAAAATGTTATTCACAACATTATATACTGTCAGGTGGCATGATGTGACAGATGCCCCATAAGTGACACATCCCTGTATAGCCCAAACTATCTTATGCATGGTTTGCATTGTTTATTGTTGTGACTGATTGGAATAGACCAGGGCTTAGAAAAGTACTTGTTGTTCCGACTTCCCAACCAATCCTATTTTTTTTCTGCCAATCAACCCACATTTTTTGACATCATTGATGGTGCAACCCTATGGCCTATTTTATTTGGGTGGTTGCAGGTTGCTCATACAGTGTATTGCAGGTTGTTCATAGAGTTCACAATATGAAAGTGGAACCACAGGGTTTTTTAGGCCCCAGCATTATCTAATTACAGTAAAACATTTCTTGTAATGCTTGACCATAATCCAACATGACACAGCTGGCATGAAAAATTGGCCAGAAGCATCACAACCAATCCAGTCATTCCCATCATCTTCTTTACAAACTTTGCAAAGTGAATTCTTTCTTCTGTTTAAAAAAAAATATTATATTTCCACAAGCAACATGCCCAAATGTATCATCAAACAATTTCCTCCTCAACTGGTGGGAGAGTATGCAACAGTTAATGAGGTTTTTATAATAACAAAACTACAGTATCTGCCACATAGTCACCGAAGAGGGATACACCATGTTAATTCCTACATCAACCTGGTTAATACCTATTCTGTGACGTAGTGTTTGTTAACCATTACACTGGCGATTAATGCATGAAGATGTGGTTTCTTTGTATTATTAATTAAATCCCGGAAAATTTTACTCAGAAACATGCACAAATATCTACAGTAGTCCATAAGTTAATTTAATAATATCATATGCAAGTGTACATGCATGTAATGTAATGACAGAATCTTACTCAGCAAAGTCATCATACCAGCTTCCAAAAAGTGAATATGCAAGTTTCTCTCTTTCACTATTGATGTTAAAAGATTAGTCAAGCGGTTCTTCCCTGGTTATACAGCGTGCAAACTGAAAATAAAAAATATTTTGACAGGCAAGTGAACTTTATATAAAGTTAAATTTAAGCATTTGTGTTAACACATTATCTGGTAATATGTCCTAAAATTACCTACATGATGATGGATACTAACCAAACAAACCAGAACACCACAGTTATGGTTATCCTGCTGCACAAAGTGTCTAGGCTCTATACCCTCCCAATCCTTGCTCTTCCAAACAGTTTTGATATCCACCACAGTGCTTAAAAAATTAGGAAATAAATATGTCCAGGTTTGTCCTTTGCATTGCACGATGAAAGAAAAAAACTACAAGTCTTTGCTGCTCCAAACAGTATTATATATGAGTGTAGTCTAATCATCTTTGGCATGTGGACCAGTGCACAACACAAATTTTTTCATACCTTATGTTGTCAATGAGTTGCTTTAACGCTGAATTGTTTGTAAATGTTATTGATTGCTGCTGTTGATGATGATGTAAAGGATCAAGATATAATCGAAGTGACTTTTTGCAAATGATCACCTGTAAATCATAACAACATTATCCATACAATATTAACTAGCTGCATAAAGATGATCAAAACATAGTAAATGAATGTTTCATAATACCAACAGTGTCCAGTGGTTTGAAGTGATGTTCATGGGGATAAACATTTTCTCTATGCCACTAAAATTTTCTCCAAACCATAGTCTGCAGGTGCTTGACTGCCTTTGAATAAGTTCAAAAAGGGTGGTATCTGTATAGAACGTTTCTGGATTGGATATTCGTAATTTCCACAGAAATGCTTCTATCACATATATACAATGCGATTTAATTACCATTGGTACTGTACAAGTGTACATAGATTACCTATGGATATCATATAACTTAATCTTGTCGAACATGCATGCAATTTTTTATAAATCACTCTGTGAACTTGCTATTTGGAAATTTAATATAACTTTAAAAAAGTAACTACCTTATCTATAAGCCAACCAGGAACAAAATTTTTGTGTACAACTGACTTTATTTCCTTGAACATGATGCTATAGCCAGGGGGGAGTAATGTGCACATGTCTGATATGTTTAGTTTCACGGGTCCAAATTCCAGTACTGTGTTCTGAGACCCATTCTTGCACGCGTAAATAATTCTTTCGTATGGCGAGAGGTATTTTGTTGTGGATGAGCTGTCATTTAATGACTTGACCATGTCTTCAATTTCCATTGGCAAATCACAGCTGAAAAGAAACTGTATTTAATATGCTCATTCCATAAACTCTGTATTGGCTAAATCTCTTTATGTGCTTTTCTCATTCTATATCTGAGATAACGCAGGGATAAACGTTAAAGATTAAATTAATTGTTAAAGAATCTTATTCTCAATTTTGGGTTCAGGTATTCTGTAATCTGAGCAATAACTGAGTATAACGATATAGATACAAGCATTACAGAGACTTAAAAATGATAGTATATGCACCTGTTTTCGAGTAATGATTTTGTGTCAGGATCGGATAACTCTTCATTGGGTGGGTCCAGAGTAAGATCAATGAATGGGTGCTCTTGTACAAGTAATTCCTGTAAAAGAAGATCAATCAAATTTGTTGTAACAGCGATATAAATGGTTGTTTTCTGTATTGTGGGTGGGGAAGAGTCAATTAATTTTTTAAAAAAATTTTTCACCTTATCTTCATTTGTGTTGATATTTGTTGGTGAAACGATCTTCTTCCGTTTTTTCCTAAGAGACAACTTCTTATGAAATACTTTATGGTAATCTGTTGATGTAATTTTCAATTTCTTCTTTTCAGGGCTACTTCTAAGAAAAAGTCCATCTACCTTTGGACAAGTTGAGCGAAGTGCCACTTGTAGATTGTCAGCAATGTTTATCGCGTCTCGAAGCATCTTCGCATCTTCTACCAAAAACGAGATATTCTTCAGTCCAGAGAGCTTATCTTGAAACTGCCTCTTGAGTGTCGCAAGAGTGCCGGGTTCTACTGGTGAGGTGAAATTGTTTGCAGACAAAGACTGATTGCTTCCAAGTGCTTGCAAGTCCGGTGGTGATCCCTCTGGAGTTACGTCTGGAGTTTCAGGTGGATCTACTGTATTCTTTATGGAAGTTGGTGGATTGATTAGCAAACCGTCAGTATCTAGTGTAATAAAGACGCTTTCTCGATAGGCCAAAGACAAGCTCGAAAATTGCCACTTGGAAAAGAAATTAAAGATCGCAAAGAAATGCTTGCATGGAAAAGTGGATTGCCTCCAAGATTCGCATGTGCAGCTCGGAAATGAGAATTTAACCAGGTAGCTCAGTTTCTTGTTTGAACTTTTGACCAGAAACTTCCCTTGTTGATCGTTTAAACAAGTAATGTCCTTTTCCTGGATCTCCTGGGCAGCGAATTTATTTTTAAGACAATGTTTAACGAAGTTTGGTGGACGGTTTTGCAGGTAGTCATGAACAATCGCGTTGTACTTTCGGTATGAACCGCTCAAACGTAAGTTAGCACTTAGGTAGGTTTGATATGAATCTGGCAGGAAAGAACATACAATCATGACGACGATGCCGTAGAGTGATTTGTCAATGGATCTGGGTAGGTAGTCGTACTTGAATAGCCTAGCCTGTTCATAGATTCGACTCCGTTATTGGTATTGACGATGTTTAATGCTTGTGATTTTCGAAAGGCGTGACACCAGCGAAAATGACAAGCGATCCACGTTTTTTCCACATAACTTCTCACATTTCCCTTTGTTTTATAGAGCATTGATTGGCGAAGCTTGGATAACTCGTCGTTATACTGCGCCTCTGTTGCAACTCTGCCAATTGTTGTCATTGATTTCTGGAGAAACTCTTGGTCACTCTGATCAAGCCCGTTTTTTCCCAATCTGACCCAACGCTGGATTGCCTGCTGACGGTGGAAATCACAGATATATGCAATAACACACCAGGAAAGCACGTTTCGATCGCCCCAATTTCAGCGGCTGAAAAATCCACCATAAAGTATTTTGGACTCCAGTCCCGGTTCCATCCTCGCAAGATCCCCAAGGCTTCGGATATGGAAATTTCGTCCTCGTGTTGACACATAAACTCAGCAACTACTTTGTAGCCAACGTTGGTGTTTACGCACAAGAAGAACAACGGCATGGCATATTTCGTGGTTTTGTACGTCGCGTCAAGTAGGACAAGATCGCTTCCATATTTCAGAAGAAGTTTTTGTTGCCACTCTTCTTGATGAACAAAAAGAAAATTATCGCTGTCGTTAGTGGGCACGCTGGCACCAAAATAGTTCGGTTCGCCCTCTTGGGTTCGCAGGAAGAATCTTGTACTTGGCGAAGACTTTTTTAAATCAGTTATCTTTCGAAGAAGAGACTCTTGGTCATCGTTGCACTATTTTCCAGCGGCAATAGCTTTTGAAATATGATTTCGTAAGTCCTTGGAACTCGGATAGTATCTGCGATTTGTTTTCCTTGGCCACGTTATTTAAACATTTCCCGCAATTTCGAAATTCGTTCCGCTGACCAAATGTAATGATGTCCCGAAAGTGATTGCAATACGAACATGGTACGATTATTTACGAAGAAATAACGAAATGTATTGATGTCACCCACAAAAAACGCCCGTGACACAGAGTACTACACAGAGGTTGAACTGGCGACAAATCTTGTCCCCCTGTTTTTAATGCGCATGCGCTGGGCTCTGGCAAGTGTTTTTGCACTTTTTAATAAGGAAAATTCGATTTTTTAGCAGAAAAAATGGAATTTTAAAGCCAAGGGTCTTTTGCTCTTCGTTTTTTTGACAAATTTTATTTATCCATCCGACATTACTCCTTTTGGATATATAATGACTGCGATAATACGAATTCAAACAGGAAAAAACGGGAAATACAACTACGATGAGTGCGATTTTCACACGAAGCTTCTAGAACTGCCAGGTAAAAATTCAAAGTTTGGTATTTCATCTAATAAATGTAGGTCTATTTGACTATATTCCGCCAACATACAGTCATATTTTTTTCTAGATGGCAAAACAATCTCTCAAAGTTAACTTTGAGCAGATGACATATCAAGACATTATTATCATCAAATAAAGTCACAAGTAAGTATTATTTATTTGTGATTTTTAGTCATGGTTTTTTTTACTGATGTTCCAGCATTATTTTATAACTCAATGAGAAATATGCTAAAAGGGAGGTTAAATTGAAATAATGTAGTTGTTCCATTCAATCTGTGATGAGGTTGGTTATTGTTCCATTACATCATTCAAACTAAAACAAAGTGTTTATTTATACAAAATAGTGAAAATACGGTGGCTTTTTCACATTGATTCCTGATTCTGCAAGAGCTGGCTTCAGGTCCTCCATTGTCAATGTGTAATGCTTGTCCTAGTAAAAGTGAAGAGTAATGAAAAACAGTTCATCAGTTGAGGTACCATTTTGAATAATACCAAACAATAGTACAATACCACTCACTTTGCCAGATTTCCTGGAGCTTTGTACAGAACCTCGCATCTTACAATGTTGTAGAGCATCATTGGCAATGTCAGACACGAATGTTTGAGCAGCAAGAGAAATTAGTCTAACCCTTAAAAAGAAAGAGAAAATGACAACTATTTATATTAACATATTTTTATATGTGGCTTCTTTATAAATAGCTTTGTGTACTTACAGTCGAGGATCAGTTGTCTCAAATCCAGACCTGTTTAAATAGTACGACGTTACTGCATCGGGTATCTAAGATTTTAAACAAATATATGAGACCAGAACATATAAACTCGAAAAAATTCGATAAATCGCGAAGGACACCGAAGGTAAGGAAGGGTACCGTTGGAGTGTAGTCATCTAAATGATGTAAAAAGTCAGCGATAGCTACACCCTCTCCTTTCTGTTTGAAATCTCCGGTTGATTCTTTGGCAACTGAAACAGTTGCTTTACTTGTGCCAGTGTTCGAGGGAACTTTTGTTGTTGTATTTGTTGCTGTTTGCGCGACTTTAGATGTTGAAGGCCGTGGAGTTTCAGGGGGTTGACTACCTCACGGGCACAGTTTAATGATATACAGTTATGGAGCTCGCGGCGGAACCCTTTGATGTTGCCACAGTTTAGAGATATATAATGTCGCTATTATATCCTTAAACTGTGATGTTGCTGTCCCCCTGCCTACGCCATTCCACGCGCCACGCAAATTGCTCTGGCAAGTGTATTTTGACTCCAAAGTAAGGGGAAAAGGTGTTCGAAAGACGAAAAATGTTAATATTTTAAAGCTGGCTCTATCGCGCGCGATCTTCATTTTTGCGCCTAAATTTTAAAAACAAACGGTAAATGGTTGTTTTTTTGTAAAAAATATATGCGTTAGGTTAAAGAAGTAAGAAATACAAGCGCGAATGATTTTCTTTATAAATATCAAGTTGATTGCCAACATCGTCGCCGATTATAAATTAGGCAGTTATTTTTCCATCCAGAAAACATCTGAGCTGATCTTAAAACAAGCATGATTGATGTGTCATTTCTACAATTCAAAACACACGAAAAAATTTCTTTGCAAATAATTTATTTTGCCATAAAACTAGCAAAAACTACATGTTTTTTATTCGAATCTTGAACTTGAATTCAAAGGATTTACAATAAACAAAAACTTTTACCTATATAATTATACAATACTTTTTACACGAGTATAAATCCAACTTTACACACAAATGGTAAATGCTAACAGATATTAATTTCAGTTCATACATGATTGTAATATTCATGAAGGACATGCAAATCAATTTCCAATCTAATCTAAAATTGATTATGCAATTCTGTGTGGTTTCTATGAGAAGATTGAAAGCTATTTTCCAATTTCTGGATGTGAATATTTAATGAAAAATATAAATATTTTTGTGCTCTGAAACTCTAATATGATGATGAATATGTCCTAACCTTCCCTTTTATATGGAGTTTTAATGTTGTAGAATGTGCATTGCATGGATAGATTCAAGAACAAGGCTTTTTGTTGAAATTAATTACATGAATGAATTTAGACCAAGCCTAAATAATTTGAGCAGTTAATGCATAAGGGTAATATAAAAGCTTACCTATATATGAATAACATAAATTTCTTATACTAATATGCAAGGTATAATTCTAGAACTATTGTCTAACCTTGCTGCTGCTGCTAGATGATTCAGTTCTAGAATTTCCATTGGTACCGTCCCAAAGAGGGTCCGAAGAGTCCAAAGTGAAATAATAATACGCATAGGAGACAACATAGGGTTCACAAATATCAGTAAACTGCGTAAACGTTGTAAAACATTTTTTAATAGCCATCTAACTTGCTATCTTGAACTGTTGAACAGTAGAACATTTAATTTGTATTGTTTTAAACATTTTTTCCTACATACAAAACTACTTTAACAGTTAACATTACTTTTTGGTCATGAATTCAATTTGGAATAAATTATGGCCTATTTACAAAATGCATTAATCTCATGTGAAAATACATAGATTGTTAAATTAGTTGATCAACTGTCAATCAATTAGTGGTGTATCAATGTTGATATTTGTGAATTGGTGTTGGTTGTCAGTCACTAAGCCATTCATAGTGATAGGCCTAGTGTACACTTATTAATGAGCTTTCTCTTTGCCAATCAACATCCACCCATACATTTGTATTTATTCTCCATATTTTTTGTGTAGTTGTGTAATATCAATGCACTTGTGTAATACGATGTCTGCAATAAAATTTTGTCAAAAAACCTCGACTCTGTAGCTGGTAATATCTGCCTTATGAAGTTATGAAACTGCATGATGATTTCGATGCATTTCCTCATGTGTCTCGTGTCCTTCAACAGTTTGCCGAACCTATGATGATGAAGCAGAATATAAAACAAATGAAACTGAATCTCCCCACCCTCTCATCCAAGGCTTATCCTATTGTTCTAAAGGATCACTAGACATACCTCAGTAAGAGCAACCACTCCAACAAGCCGACCAAGTGATGTGACATAGGCATGAGAAAGATTTAACAAAGCAAACAATTTGTGCACCTAAACAGAGTTACATTCCATTTCATAAAGATCATTGATTTTGCATTGCTAATGAAAGTGTGAGGTTTACCTGAATGACCTGAAGTAGTGATGTTCTTTCTACAAGTTGGAATGGAGCTGGATCAATTTGACATAAGTCATAGTCAACCTCTTTGTCTAGTACTTCGTTTTCCCATTGTAAATACCGCAGATAATATTTACAATAAACATGATTGGTAAACAAGTTTGAATACAGCAAAAAAATGATAGAAAACAGCACATGCAGAGCAACAAACCTGTTCAGGTGAAATAGGTTCTCTTTGGGAGCTAGGACTTCCAGATCGCCCCTGCATTGAAAAACGCAAATACATTTAAAATTACGTCATTTTATATATTTACACAATATGCATGTACCTCAGAGTCTATGGTAGAACCACTTCCTGAGAATAAACGTTGAAGTTGTTGTGAACCTAAATACATGATAACATGATATATAAACATGATAACATCATATATGAGTGACTGGTGAGATCTTAGATGATAATCATGTTTTAACCTGATTAAACTAACCATCAACAAACCTGGAAGTTTTTCAAAGAGAGAACAGTTGCTTGATTACGTTGGCATTGTTGAATCACGTAAATTCACCTAAGAAATGGAAACGCTTCTTATTCAGAAACAATAACTATAAGATCATTATTTTCGTCTGATATCAATTCCCTCATCTTTCATTCTAAAATCCTTTTCATTCAACTCCATCACCTTCTTTATTTCTTCATTTATCTCCAACAGACATGCCCTTCGTCTTGAATAAAGCTCAGAAAAAAGAAATGTTGGAATTTCTTTGCAATACAAACCTCAATTTCACTATCTGATAGAGCACGATCGTCATCATCTCTCCTGATATAAAACAAGAATGATCCCCGGTTAGACTACATACCATTGTAAGCCATCACGTGGCCGCATTCATACGTCAATGACCGCGATTTCGCGGGTTTTCTAAAGACCTGAAGTATAGTTACCTGCGCTCAGGAAGAAGAGGTGTTGGTGATGTTGACCCTGGTGAGCTTGCTTCACTTTCTGCTCGACTTCCACTGTGTCTGGTGTTGCTCAGATATCGGGTTAGTAACATTTGTAGTTGAGGACGGCGGATGGAGCCGAGTAGAGTCATTGTCTCTAAATATAATAATACAGGTTTCATTTGCATTTGAATTAATGACGAGAAGCACTATTTCTGAAACAGGTTCAGTCAACTCCGGCGCTGATGAATATCTTTACCTTTGGTGTCAACCAGTGGAAATGACGTTAATTTTGACTTTTCTAACAACTCTTTCAGATCTCGATATGTTGACCTCCTCGTTATAAACTGCAAGTCTGTTTTCATAATATTCGCCACAGTCACTTTGTAAAGTCTGAAGAATTAACTCAGAACTTTAGGACGTTGTTTTTAGCTGGGAAAATGAGCGCAATGTGAGCAATACCTGGAGTTTGTAATCTCCGGAAGGTAAGGTGATTTCTTTATTTGTATTATACTGTCGTAAATTGACGGCTGCAACCACTGGGCTATTCCATTAGCAATCAAAACAGCGACCTAGAAAAATCAAGAATTTCATGAATTTCACCGATGCTCAATTTATGCCTTTCATTAATCCTTGAGATGAGCCACGATAAATCTTTATTTTCATCATATTTTTTACATCCTAAAAGCAATTGATGTGAGACAAGCAGACACATCCCACGACCTTACCATGACAGGTAATATATGTGCAATCTGTGCAGTTAGTTCAAACACAATAACAGAGACAGATATGGTATGAGTGACAGCACCAGACATTGCAGCCGCACCAACAACCGCATAGCCTCCTGGTAATATTTTACTAGCGACATCCTGAGGTCCGTTGTCATGGATACCTTCAGGAAATCATGTCGCCATAGCTTCACCAACAAGACGACCAAACGCAGCACCTTAACATTGTGAAACACGCAATTTATGAGATGTAATTATTGAAACATTTGAACAAAAGAAACACGAGAACTTACCGATAACAAAAACAGGAAAGAATATTCCTGCTGGAACTGGCAGAGTGATGGCAATGGCTGTCATGATAAACTAAAATTCACGACAAAAGAATATTTCACTGATCTTCTATTTCCTAATTCTTCTTTCTTTCTTTCTCCTTTGTTTCATTCATTCGTAATCCTACTAACATTATTCCCGTTATTTACTACATGAAACATAAAAAAATTCCTGAAAACTTTACCTTAATGACAATAAAGAAAACCAAAGTGACGTAAATATTCCCGAATGCTCCGTTCCAATGTTTCAACGTCTCTTTAGGAACGTCCGAGTCTTCACTATCACCAAGTGACCACGTCGTATTTGAGAAGAGTTCTTCAATAGCTTCCTTTTGTGTCAACTAAAAACGACGAGATATCGATCAATATTCATTGCTCACACAAAATCACATTCCACATCATTCATTTGTCTTTTACCTCCCCAGCTACAAGCTTTCCAGGTCCTTTTGGAAACATCAGCGTTGATACCAAAAGAGTCACAATCACAGGATACAAAAATCGACTAAAAAAAATTCATTGTAATTTCTGAATAAAGGTTCACTCTTCTAATAGCACCTGTGCTGGGACTACTAGTGACGAGGCATAACCACAACTCATTTTCAACTATACGCGATGCTGCGATGTGGAGAAAAGACACAGTGTTCGTTTACCTTTTTTCAAGAAATCTGGATATGACGTTCTCACGATGATGTCGTCTTACTCCACAATCTTCCTGTGTGTATACACAAAAAGAGCTCCACCAAATCCACAGACAACCCTAGTTTAACAGACCCTTTCGTTAAATGAGACTTGTTCATTTTGACTACACACAGGTAAAGTATAAACCCGCGCGCAAACTATCTTACCCAATCAGAAAAACGCAATAAACTCCTCCGTATCATATGGAAAATCGATCCTAAAGTTTGTCTTGAAGAGCGCAGTTATGGTGTCTGTAAGACAAGCAGATATATCATAATTACTCAAACACTAACTCTATAACTAGGATTGAAATCATACAATCCAATCACCTTCATCATTGTCCCACACTGAGAGAAGACTAAACATAAAAGCACCACAAACGGCAGCAAAGAAACCACGCCAGTAATTCCTCACAGCAAAATATGTACTTGTTACTTCAATACTGAACAATACTCCTACAAAAATAAGACTGTCATTTTCAACAACAACAGCATTAATAAACTTTGCAGGGGAGGTTTGTCATCTTAGCATTTGGGCTCTGGTGAAATTTGGGTCACCCAAAGAGGTGTTGGTAACAGCTCCATGTACTCCACTAAGAATCATAGTGGTATACTGTATGTACAATACCTCCAATTGGTGAAACAAAGCAACTTGAAACACCCAGAGCACAAGCCGCAGCAAGAATTTCCGTATTACGAGATTCAATCTGCAAAGAGGATTATAATGAACAAGTGTTTGAAACCGCAAGTATGACCTAATAAATGTTTTCCTCTAGTGTAATAAAAACACATATAAATATACACAGTTACCATAAATATTCCTTGAAATGAGGTAACAAATTTTCCAAGTGCTCTTGCAACAATACAGGCAATATGAACGAAAGGACCCTAGGAATCCCAAGAGGATGATATCAATACTTCTACTTGATTAAGTAAATTGCTTTAAACAATAACATCTCTCACCTCTTTTCCTATTGGGATTCCACTACCAAGTGAAGCTGTCAGACCAACCTTTAAAAGAATGACTGAAGTGAGACAGTATTCAGCTTTTTTCAATGGTTATCAATTGGACTATGATTTTCATTAACATTGAGTTTGCAGTTTTCAAGATGAATAAACCTACCACTTTGGCAATCAATGTTGGTATCGACAGATAACGCTTCAAAATTGTACCACGTAAAATAGTCTTCATCTCAGGAATGCCAGAACCTTAGAATACACAAAACACAGATCAACATTTATTGTTTCAGATCAATATTTCTATGAGTGCTGGTCCCTTGCTTTGTTCCAATATTTGCCAAAGAAGGAATACTCAAAGATATTGTACTCACCAATAGCATGAGGGGAAACAAGATGCGTGAAACCAACAGAGAAAAAAATCAAACAAACTGGGAAGAGAACCCAGATCAGATATTGACCAAAAATATTGTCTGTTGCATGGGAATATAGCCACAAATGAGCTGAAAAAAAGATATCAACATAATAAAAGAACATAGTCCTTATAACATGAAAAAATCCACTGTAAAAAACCCATAACATTTGCATATTAGAAACTTTGTCAATCGATCTGAATAAAGACCCTTTGTTTGGGCATCAGTATCAAGAGTCTCTGTCAAATGGTTAGGCCTTTATTATAGCATATCTTGTTTAGGTGGAATGAACAAATCCCATTGATGAACATTCTTAATAAATCTTTTGTTTAATGTGTTAATTAATGGCAAGTAATATTTGTCAGCCAGTGATAACTTGATTCAGATTATGATCTACAATATGAAGTAACCTTGTTGACATTTGTCAATTGAGAAATCCAAGCCAAAACTAATGAGAGCAACTATAATTCCCAAAATCAATAAAAATAACCAGTCACTGTCGAATTTTTCTTGAACTGGCTTTAAAATTCTTTTACACTGCCCTAAAAAATTTACAATAATTTAACAATTGACAAGAACTTTACATGTTTCCAAGTAGAAATTATATGTCACTGACTTATCATTTTCCCCCATCGTGAAGGACTGTATGATTGAAAATTATCTTCACTTGGTTCAGTTACTGCTTCATCGTGAGAAGTACTTTGATTACGTAACTCTGCTGCAAAATTTTTGGCGTATTCTTGTAATTCCTGTGTTGTATGGGTGCCATACATCTGCATGTAAAAAGATAAATCAGATGTACCAAAACACTATAAATTTTATTTATTTTTAGGTTTATACTAGAAAGATAATATCCACAATAAATTCACATTGTCCAACATTATATCACTTTCACTTGTATCATATGGCAAAAGAAATATGAGGAAAATAAAGAATTAGTGCGGCATATAAGCCTTTAATATAAATATGGAATTATAATCCTTCATCTCAAACAGTAATGGACAATACAGGTATTTGTAGTATTAAATATATAACGTTTATCAGAACAAATAATTCAATAGTACAGTACACAAAAAACTATATTTATGTTTATATTTACAGTACTTTTGTTTATTTAAAAAAAACAACTACAAAAACACACACATTGAGCACTTTGAGGAACAACAGACTCATTATCAAATCACGTAATATATAAAAGCTATGTAGTGGCTTATGAGATACAAGATGACACGACCCTGGAGATATTATTACTATTTGCATTTTTGAAATATATACGTAAAACATGTTGGTACTTTACCGTCCTAAGGTTTTGCAAAAGCTATCAATCTATTTCCTTTAACTCACCAGTGTTTCTTGATAGCCATAACGATTCTGCTGTGTATCTTCTTTAGCCATATTTAAGTAGATTTATCACAGAAAATTAGGTATTAGCCAACAATCTATTTTGATAAGAACTTTATAATTTATATCACCTCCATTCCAATAACTTCGAAATAAACTTCCTGCATGCTAATGTCGTCGACTCGTCGGGACTCGGAATGTGTCGTGATATAACGTATTACGTCGCTAGAATATAAGTGAAAAAGAAGTACCTTGTGTCCTTGTCTTAATGTCTTTTCAGTTTTCACTGGCTTTAGTGAGTTTATAGTCTGTTTTTAACTAGTTTTCATCGTAGTGTTCGGTCCAAAATGTTATATGCTGAACAGTGTGTTACATAACAAATTGTCTTCGACGCATTGAACTGAATGTTGCTGAGACGCCACAACCTGAAAAAGATGCATAATTGGTTGTCCTACAGGCCTGTATTTGTTGAAATAAGTTCAAATAACCTTGTAAAACGTCTCTCCCCGAGCCAACAATATGTTTTGCCAACAAGATGTTCGCTAAATAATGCTAACTAATGAATAATAAGAAGTGCTACCTAGGGCCAGGCCTCAAATTGTAGTTAGGGAGACCCTTTACCTTAGCCCTTTACGGGTTGGATGGGCTCGACCGACTGATCTGGAATGAGTAACATTGCGCAAAAGTCAAAAAGCTAAACCTTCAAGACCAAGAGGTTGATTAACCGCAGTTCGTACACAGACGCTTAAATTGAGTATCATGAAGTCGATTTGGTACTCTAATGTCTAGGCACAATATAAAAAACGTTTTGCGGTTAAAAAATACTGTCTACCATCGTGATGGTGAAAACTATTGCATTTAAAAGCTCACTCGATGACACCTTTCATTCTTAAAATGCTACCCCAGTGCTCCACTTGAGTCTTTGTCAATCCACCCACAAGCGGATATCCTTAAAGCGATATCTGTGTGTTTAAACAAATGGCCTATTAGCAGTTAGTTTTCTGGTCATTGTCTATCATAATGAGGCAAATCTTAACTTCTTCCCTACTAGGTTGTAAGTCACACGACCGTGATCACACGCACGTCCCTCTTAGCCGCTACAATTTAACTGCTTTTATATATGAAAATATCAATAAACGAGTTTTGATTCAACTTCCTGACGGCTTGATCCACATATGCTGGACTGATATCCAAGAGGGGTTTATGTTTTCACTCTGGTTCCAGAGATTTATAATTTCACACGACTTTATATTTGAGCACCAGAATTGACCACTTGTAGTCGACCGTCCCCAGCAAAGCCCTCTCGGTCGTGGACCTCTGCTGTGAACCACTAACCTGCCCCACCTTCGTCTAGAAATTCATCCAGTATTTCAATAAAGAAAATCTACAAGCACTCGTGTCAAGTGACAACGTTGGGGGAACAAAATTCTTATATAATACTAATAAAGAAAATCTTTTCAAAAACTCGCTGAAACTTTTGAAAACCGGTTAGCTATTATGAACAATTTTTTCCCAGGACTCTTGCTTCCTTTCATATTGATAATATCAGCTAAATGGCAATGATTGTCGCTAATTTTTCACCAAAAATTCATTCTCGAACAATCTCGAAGAAAAGTTTATTAAACTGCGAAGCAATTCGTTACCGTGGTGAATTAGTAATTTCATTAAAATCATGGAGATGATCTGGAAAGACCGAACTGCATTTAAACAAAGATGTAGTCTGTAGAGGAATGTCGTTGTGCTATTGTTTAGTGTTTAAAAAATCATCGCGACGCTTCAGGGGCAAAAACGTACAAACCAGGACGGCAAACTGGCGCTGTACAACACAGACATTGAGGACATGTAGTAATGAATTTGATCTATCGAACAGTCATTTCAGTGCTCCTAATCACCTATTTTTTTTAACCAGTCCTCAATGTATACACTATCCTGATTCATGCTGCTTCAGACTCATAAAGAGAAAGCCCCATCCGCGCATAGCTTCATACAATCGTGGTCGAAAGACTCGCTAACGTACGTGTTGCGGAAAGTTAGGCAGAGGCATAATATTAAGTGCGTCAATGGGCTCACCAAGTTGGCTCCATACCAACGACGATAATACAAACACATTAAAAATTCGGCGCGCTCACTTGGAAAAGGAAGAATATAATATCTAATTGTCACTGAATAGTTTTCATAGCATATAATAAGATTCCTTTCACAATTTTAAGTAGATTTAAGTAGGTACTCTACCACAACATATCCGCGTTGTGAGAAAGGCATAATTTCATTTACCAACTTACTAAACATTATCCTTTCATGCAGTAACAAGTGATTGCGTTACCATGGTGCCTGGAATATAGCTTATAGGTTAGTCAGTGACCCTGAGGCAAACTGATATAAACACAAGAAGATACCCACACATGCATTGTAGTATGTAAGAGTAAAACATGTGTAGTATTGGCGTCTAGAAAATATCCTACGACCTACGCGTGCGAGTGACTTGGCGGATCTTCACTTAATTGAAATTTGAGATTTCCGTAATCTTTTCAATCTACGAAAAGCATCAAATAAGCCTCAAATGAAATCGGATTCACTCAATATTAATCACAATATCGCTTTAAAATATTGCTCTGCTAATTAAATTGTAACAGTAAAATGCCCCATTTGCATGGTTAAAATTTAAGATTACAAATACGGAACAAATGAGTTTCACTAATTTTAGGAGAGTGAAGATGCCCACATGAAATAGGAAGTAAGATATCCCCAATTTCTGACTTCGCACATTCAGACTTCATTTTTTAATTGCGTGTGAACATTCTTTCTGAGTTTTTGAAAGTTCATATTATCACTGTTTTTACATACAAACAACATTTTAGTGACACATTTTCTTCTAGAAGCTTAACTTATGATATGATAGTAACGGACAACGATTATACAGAAACGACTTTTCAACCATATATGGTAAACGCTTATATAGATTCACCTTTTCTTTAATTGAAGTGTTGGCTACTCAAATGAATTATATATGCTTAAGAGTTTACCAGTTTTAATTAACATTCCAGTAAGTTGCTATAAAATGGTTGGTTTTCATTTGCACTTGCACAGTTGAAGAAACCTGATAACGGGATTCAATTATACAGAGAAGTAAAGAAAACAAGCAGCAACATTAGAGACTCATATCCATCCACAAAAACGGTAAGTGCTTAACAAATACATCTATATAGAATTCAGTAAGGAAAAATAATACCCACTGCTGCTGAAAACCTGATATAATTGGAGTAAAATCAGCATTTCAAGCTTGGTTAGGCAACTTTTAAATGTTATGTGTAAAAGTCGTAAAATATACCATAATTTGAAGTAAATCTAGTACATAAAAGACCGGAGTAGAGCTTGAGGAAAATAGCCTGAAACATTTTTGTTTTTTTTGTTTTCAATTCATGATGTATAAATGCTCCGTAGTCTATGGACAACATGCAAAAGAGAGAAAACGTAAAACACGGTACAACTCGATAATATGAAATGATCTTAGGTAAGAGAAACCTCTCTCTTCTCGTCTGGCACAATCACTCACACAGTCACACTTTATCCCACACTACTTCTTGTCACAAGTAACATTTTTTCCAAGGAGAATAAAATTGCCTTTTGAAATCATCATTTCATCATGTCATTTGAAATCAAGTATACTTGAAATTGTTGTACAATCACCATAATCACAGACTGAAAAGTTTCGCAATGACCAATCATAATACACCGCAGAACTTCACTTTTGCCCGTAAATCATGAAACATGTCTTTGTAAAAATCCTTTGGCCATAGGGGGTGCAATTTGCTCCCTACTTAAACGTTCAGTGAATGAAAAATTCTTTTTAAAAGACACCATAAAACCGCAACTAAAAAGCTGCAATTTACAGTTATATTATACATGCCATTGATCTGTCAAAGAATCCTACAAAGCCCTACAATAATTACATACTTAATAGCTGATTCCTGAAGGGAGAAATTTACAAACATCTCTGCACCGAAAGACTCAAAGCACAGCTGATAACGTATTTCATGCACTAAAAATGATCAGATATTTTTAGAAATGCAACCCCGCGTGATGTTTCTCATACATTTTAACAGAGAAATGTTGAATCACCTCTGAACATATATGACAGTTATCTTTGCATGCACTGATATAAGATACGAAGGTGCCCAGGTTATATATGACTTAGCAGTACGTTACTTGATAATCAAGTCTCATTCTGATTGATAATCAAGTCTCATTCTGATTTTCCTGTCAGTTATATTAATTCATTCGCTTTGCATTACCATGCAATATTGTATTTTTTAACCAGAGAGGTGCTGAAATCACCTAACGCTCGCCTGCACTGTTTGTCTAGAATAAGGCTAAACTCTGTATGAAAGGTATCTGTATGAAGCACAAATTACCGATCTTTTTATTACAAATTACAAGGCTAAAATCCGCGTTGGAAGGTAATATTAAGCACAAACTTCAGATATTAGTTGTGACCTCAGAATTACTGGCCAAAACTGGCCTCGGAATTACATTAGTTTTATTTGTGACCAATATTTCTTCCGTTTCTCGCAATCCGCGCACGTGATATCAACAGGTAAGTTAACGGACCAGGCAAAAGTCTCTGCTTTAAGCCGGGCGCACACACAACGATTTTACGGTAGTTGGTCCATTCAGGTTTAGACATATAGCCGATATAGGCAGCCCTTGCCCAGACATGTTTTCCTTCTCGCGCGCCGCGCGTGTACGCGAGTCTACTTGGTCTAATATTATGACCAAGTATACAGGGTGTATCAAAAAAAAGGTAATCCAACTTTGGCGCGCTATTGTACGTGAACTACTCGTCCTATTAACGCAATTTTTTCACATTCCGAAAGGTTAGGCTTTTAACTATCGAATGACATGATTTTAATACCAAATGGTGAAAAAATGAGCAAATAGGAGGCTGATAAAAAATGTTAGTCAAAATCGCATATTTTCACCTCTGAGAGTTGGGACTAAAACCATTGAAAATTAACTCCCTTTGGGTCTTAATTGAAGAATTTCGCTTCTGAATAAACTATCCGCATATGCATATTAAGTAGGAATAAATCTCACTCATCGAATAAATGCAAACATGGTACAACTTACGGTAGAACAACGAACTTTCGTCATCAAAACCTTTTTCGAAACCAGAAGTTTGCAAAGAACTCGTGAGACATTCAGGGAACGGTTCCCTGAGCGGCAACCGCCTGCACTTAAAACGATTTGGGCGAATGTGAGAAAGTTTTCCCAACACGGTACAACCTTGAATCAAAACAAGGGAAATTCAGGCAGACGTCGCACTGGACGATCAGAAGCCAACATCGAGGCAGCAAGACAGCGATTGGCTGAGCATCCGACAGGTACAAGCGCAAGACGGAATGGTGTTGGCCTACCATCCGCTACTTTTAATAGGATAACGAGGCTAGATCTAAACATGCACCCTTACCGCATGCAGATCCGACACCAACTCCTTCCTCGAGACTATGCTAGGCGAATGCAGTTTGCGCGATGGCTGTGTGATCATTACGAGAGAAACGAGGATTTCCTTCGGCCATTCGTTATTGGAGATGAAGCTGCATTTGCCATGAACGGCCAAGTAAACTCCCACAACGTTAGAGAGTATGCCGCAGCAGGACAACCGCCCGAGTTCAACTATGAGGTACATACATACACATACATACACTATATTTAAACACGGAAGGAAAACCATCAGTACATTTGATATTTAAATATTTACAGTCTAATTTATATAAAAATAAAGAGAGTATCGTGGGAGTACTGTTCTACCTGGTTGCCGTGTGGGAGTCGGTTGAACTAGAATATAGAGATTCCAGTCTACTTTTAAAAGAGGTTAGAGATGGCGATAATCTAGAGGATTCAGGCAAGCTGTTCCAAAGAAATGCTCCGCTATAAGAGAAGGATCGGAGCGCTTTAAGTAATCAGTGTTAGGTTTAGGAATAAACAACTTGCCATAGGAATTCCTAAGAGCATACTGCCCCCTTCTAGAGACGAACATCTCTTGTAGGTATTGAGGTGTTTGACCATTAAGAATTTTGTACATGAGTATGGCCTTCTGTTTTTGACGGTTGAGTGATAAATTATTCCACTTTAGCTTATGAAGAAGGACATTGGATGATACATCATATGAAGAACATGTTATGACGCGTGCTGCTCTATTTTGTAGTCTCTGAACTCGATCACTTAAAGTAACTCCGAGTCCGTCCCATACTGGGGCGCAGTAGGAAAAATAAGGTTCAATAAAACCTTGGTAGATCTTAATTGCGGTTTCCTGATTCATTAGCCCTCTAGTACGTTTGAGTGCACTAATTGCAGACGAAACTTTTTTAGTAATCACGTCAACATGGTTAGTCCATGTAAGATGTTCATCCACGGTCAAACCTAAAGTTTTGGCGGACTCAACTTGTTCGATTGGTTGATTATCCACAGTTACACAAAAGTCATGATCATCAAAGGTTGCTAACCGTTGTCGAGAACCGATGACCATGAATTCTGTTTTAGCAATATTTAAACTTAACTTATTTGCTATTAACCACCGTTTTAGGTTTAAGAGATCAAATTCATGAGGTTTTCGAGCTCAAAAAGATTATTACTCTTGAAACTTATATTGGTGTCATCAGCGAACATTCTAGGAAAACCCTCGTTCAAGCAATTCGGTAGGTCATTGATATACACCAAAAACAAGAGAGGCCCTATGATAGAGCCTTGGGGAACCCCCTTAGATATGGAAGAGCTAGACGAGTATTTGCCGTTGACGAAGCACTTTTGCTTTCGATCAGTTAAATAAGATCGAAACCACGCTAGCGCGAGATCGTCAACACCATAGACTCTAAGTTTTTCCAATAGAATTGCATGATCAATAGTATCGAAGGCTTTCTTTAGATCGATAAAAACTACGCCATTAAGAAGACCCCTGTCTATATTGACACACCACTCATTCGTTGTTTCTAGCAAGGAGGTTAGAGTGCTATGTGATGGTCTAAAACCAGATTGATAAGTATTAATTAAATTATTAGCTGATAAATAACTATAGAATTGATCATGTACGAGTCTACCAAAGACCTTAGCAATTATAGAGATAATTGAAATCGGTCGATAATTGTTAAGATTATCTTTCTCGCCACTTTTAAAAATAGGCAGCACTCTAGCCATCTTCCAATCGTCTGGGTAGATTCCCATATTAAGTGAGCGGTTGAAGATGGCAGTTAGAGAAGGAGACAAAATATCAGAAGCAATCTTCAATACCCTACCAGGAATATTATCCGGGCCGGTTGCTTTGTTAGAATTAATAGATTTAAGAGTTTCAGTTACAGTCTCCACGTTTAAAACGGTAAAGGAGAATGTACTGTTGGTAGAATTGATATAAGAAATAGGATCTATATCAGAGGAAGGTATTTCGTTTGCAAGACTTACTCCTATCGTGGTAAAGTACGAATTAAATGCATTAGCTATATCGTGAGAGTTTGTTATCTCTACATCTTTTTGCCTAATACATTTTATATTTGTGGAGTCGTGAACTTTGCGCGAAGACAGCTCATTAATGAGTTTCCAAGTTTTTTTAGGATCACTTTTAGCCGAGTTAATACGATCCATAAAATATTGGCGCTTAGTGTTCTTGATGAGCTTAGTAACTTCATTTCGAGATTTTTATATTTAGTCCAAATTACGTCATTGGGATTTTTAAATCGTTTTTTTAAGGAATCCCTTTCACGTATTTTGCTAATTACTGTGGAGTTAATCCACTGCGATTTATTGCATCTAAGCCTTTTTGTCTTAATTGGTGCATGAATATCTAATACAACCGAGAATCTAGAAAGCCAAGCTATCCACAGGGTTATCAAATGAGCGAATATCAGACCAGTTAATTTCGCGTAAGTCATTCAGAAATTCATCATCATTGAAATTTTTAAATTGCCTCTTAGTTACCGAATGATTTACACCAACTGCTTGCCAATTAGATTTTCGTATTAGATAGATGAGAGAATGATCACTTATACCCAGGGAATGAGTCCCCGAGTCTTTGACCTTATCAGGATAGTTAGTAAGACATAAATCGATAAGTGATTCCGTATTAGAACTCTAGGATAGATTGTAGATATTACATATATTAAGAAGATTTTTGGTATTGCAATCGGGGTTCGCAGACATGACATCACAGTTGAAGTCCCCTAATAAATAGAATTCACTTCCATCAGCATCAATTTTATCCATTATATCTTGAAAAGCAGTAAAAGCTGTCGTTGGGGAATTTGGAGGTCTATACCAAGTTACTACCAAGAATGGCTTTGAACGAGGTTTACGAATCTCAATCGCAAGTAGTTCTAGGTTCTCACTATGTAAATCGTCTCGTAATCGGAAGTTTAAATTACTTTTGATGTAAATACAAACTCCACCACCATGACGGCCGTTAATAGAACGATCTCGTCTGGCGATATCATAACCTGGGACATGAATCTGATTTGAAGTTATTGTGTAATCCAATTTAGATTCATTGATTGCTAGTATATCAATTTTATAAGTGTCGAGGAAGATCCTAAGTTGATCAATATGCGCAACTAAGCTATTAATATTTAGACATGCTATCACAAGACCTCGCTTACTTAAAGTTTGTTGAAGAGAATAATTATTAGATTGATTTGTAGGACTGGAATTCACCGACTCCCGTGTGGCAAATTCCTAATTAGTAACAATGAATTGGCTAATGTTTTTGGCAATAAGAGAGGTTCCTTTACGATTCAGGTGCAAGCCTCTAGTGTTTAAACAGGTAGAATTGATCGCCGAGTGGTTTATGAATTTCCACTTATTCCTAGTGCATAATGAGTTTATCAATTTGTTAGCATCGTTTGCTTTAGCAGTTAGATACGGGTTATCTGTTCGTAGTGTAATGCTGGAAAGCACAATATTAGTATTTGGTGATTCTTCTTTAATCTGAACACCCAAATTTGAAATGCCCTCGGCTACTTGTTTAGATGATAGTTTTTTTAAGTCATTAGTACCAACATGCAGTATTATTGTCTCAGGTTCTTTGCGAATAACTGGTTTCAAGTAGTCCTCCATATCCTCAGTGGCACCTGCAAAGCTCTTAACAACAACATGGTTGTTCACGTCTGATAGGCGCCATCCCTGCAAGTTTTTTAATTGAGTCACCTGCAACTACTGTAACTTTCTTATCAGAACTGGACATGTTCATATCTCGACCTTGTTTACCATGACGGGTCTCACTTTGAATACTGCTGTTATGATAATTATCATCATGATCGGGTTGATTGGTATTAAGTGTATTGTTAGGAGGATTAACTAATGATTCATCGCGTTGTTGGTTTACATTAGACTCTTGTAATTTCTTTTTCCCTTTGGCTTTGTTTTTACGTTTTGATTTAACTGAATCACTATTTTGCTTAGGAGATTCCCTTTCCTTAGTATTATCCAACTCTATCACTGGGAAATTAGACGGGTTATTGGACATTGGAGGAATATCTGTTTGAACCGAAGCAGATCGATTATTACTCGAGTCTGACGCGACTTTACTATCCCTATCACTGTAAATAAGTTTCACGGCAGTCAGCAGGCATGAGCGCTCGTTTTCTAGATCCTTAATTCGTGTGTTTAGATCTGATTCAACACACAACAAATTGTTGTGCTTATTTGAAAGATCATTTAGATTTTCTTTTAATTTCTTATTTTCATCTTGGAGAATGGTAATAAGTTTGAAGTCGTCCAAGGCTTTCACAATATTATCAAGTTTGTTGTTAATGGCCGCTTCTAACGAAACAACATTACAGTCACCGCGATCATTTTCTTCTTGAGCTGGATTTACATCACAGCTTGTAGCTTCTACAGAACTTACGTTCGGTAAATTTTTATCTTTCCCAGCTGCCTGCATAAAAAAATTTGAAATATACGTATCTGCAGTGTCTCTCACGACGACTAGTTTCTTCGACTTTTGCCATTTGACTTCAAACTCTTCGGCTGTAAATAATTTTACGGCGCCGCCAGGGCAACTCCAACTACCAGATATTGCATTATCGGCGAAATATGTTTTCAACTGATCGTAGGTCCCTTCCCATCGATATTCTCCAGCTTCGAAGCTTAAATATTTCGTAAATTCATGGTCATGAACTGAGCTAAAAACCGCCATGTCCACGTATGTGGACAACGAAGGTCAACGAGGTCAACATCAGTCGCGAAAAATTGACGGTTTGGATTGGACTTTGTGGCAGCGGCCAGATAATTGGTCCATTTTTCTTTGAAAGAAATGTCACTGGACAAATTTATCTCCAAATGATAAACAACGACGTGGTGCCACAACTCCAGCAACATTTTCGGAGGCAAATTGAAGGGGCATTCCGAAATCTCTGGTGGGTGCAAGACGGTGCGCCAGCACATCGTTTAATTGCAGTCCGCGATCGGTTAAGAGAACTGTTTGGTCATCGCGTGATTGCCCTCCACCATGACGTAGAATGGCCACCAAGATCCCCTGACCTTACTCCTTGCGATTTCTTTCTTTGGGGTTACCTAAAGAATAAAGTGTACACAAGCCCACCACATGATCTAAATGATTTGCGGAATCGCATTTAACATGAAGTTGAAGCGTTGAGAGATAATCCTGCGCTAATCAGGAGAACATTCCAAGCAATGCGGCGGCGATGTCAACTCTGTATCGATAGAGATGGTGGTCACGTTGAAGGCATTGGCGCATAATCTCTTTAAAGTGTAAATGTAAATAATTTGCAATAAACAAGTTGTAAAACCAGTGCAAGCTGTGACATGTTCGTGATTAATTGTTTTTTCTTTTGTTATGCACTGCTTTAATTAGGCTCAGAGGTGAAAATATGCGATTGTGACTAACATTTTTTATCAGCCTCGTATGTGCTCATTTTTTCTCCATTTGGCATTAAAAGCATGACATCCGATAGCTAAAAGCCTGATCTTTCCGAATGTGAAAAAATTTCGTTCATAGACTGAGTAGTTCACGTACAATAGCGCGTTGAAGTTGGATTACCTTTTTTTTGATACACCCTGTAGATCGCCAGTCGCCACATTTTGATGAAAACATCCATCTAGACAATCTAGACAGGAATCGGCCGACTAAAATCGTCGTGTGTGCGCCTAGCTTTATGAAATAAACAAGATTGGATTTTTATATCTACACAAAAAAGGATTATGCATCAAACAACGAAAAGGTATGTACATAAATCTTATAGGTGCTTTAATAATATATTTGCATGTGTATCTACATAAATAATATGCAAATATATGTCACATGCGTTGCCATTTGCCTTTGCATTCCGAGCCTATCGGCTTTCTACTTATAAATACTTATGTGCTAAAGCTTGTAATTGCGAATTATCTGACAATATTCTTTAAACTTTAACGTTGGACTATGTTTTATATATTTTCACTCCCTGAATGATTTCTATATTAAGCGATTGAATTTTGATACGGCATGTCACAACACAATCTCATAATTTATAATTGTACATGTACAATACAAACAAATGGTAGCATACGGGTGAAAATATTTGAGAGTTTCTCATTTGGCTTAGGGTTGTACAAATAGTTTCGTTAACTAGACATTCTTATCAGAAGGAAAAATTGCTGCCGAAGATCTGAATTAAAAATCTTTACAATATAACCAGGGAGCAGCATGGAAGCATCTTCAAACAACTTAGCATCAAATGTTGTACGGATAACAGTTTTATTCAGAAACAAGGGCAACAGTGTGACATTAATAATGAGGGCACATAACAAGATTCATGAACATAACTTAACTGAAGTGGAAAAAGAACCAGCAGCATCAGTTAATCATACCTGATTATATATGATTATAAGAAAAACTTTGATATGTAAACATTTGAACAAATATATAATTTATTACAAAATATAACAAATTCAATATAACAACTATAAAACTGCTATTGGCAAGATAAAACTGACTAAGAAGTTACAGATCTATGATGCCTAAGTATTAATTGATAAGCTTTCCTGATATTCAATAGAGTAACAATATATATGTAAATATATCCCCCACTAACTCGAACTCTCAAGAAAAACTGTTCGAGTTAACCAGGGTTGGTGTCAGATTACGTTTATATTTACATACATGACAGGCTGAGGTAAAAGTTAATCATACTTTCTACATTCTAATGTAGTAAATTTGGGCATAATTTAATTTGCATTTTCTAAACACTTTGATTCGTTTTGTAATTACTGTAGTTTACTCTGTTATTTTTGTTTCATGTCCATTGATGCATTGAAGGTAACAAGGTATACACCATGCACCTTTATTTAACTAAGGTCTGCATGTATCATAGGTCAAACTTGCTCTAATTCACCCTGGCAAACATTAATTGCAGTACCTGGTAGCATTATGTGAATTGCACATGATCTAGACATCTACAAATATTGAGGAAAGATATCATTCATAAAATACTGGCGGATTCATAAAATATGTATGATTACCCTCTCATGCTTTACTGACACTGTTTGTGTCTCAACTCTCAAATATTGGTGTCTGTAATTTGTAAATACTATTTACTCTCTCAGACTCTCAATGGGACTTGCCGCATAAAATTGTGTTCAGTTGTCTCTAACATGTACAATGATTGGGCTAATCCTTTGTGTCCCTCCAGTATATGTTGAGCCTCATGGGCAAAGTCATGCTAATGACTTTAGGGTTTTAAAAAACGGGCAGATCATCTATCTGTAGTTGTTATGACAAAACACAGCCGATATGTCGACTTATTAAATGAACATAATTGTACTGGTACAGTCTAGAACATGTTGGTAAGTTTTCCACAGACAAAAAATCTACACCTGACGGTAAGACTATAAAGCCCCTATTAAGAGCTTTTATGTACATTTTGTCCCCTTGTAATAAGACATTATTAAATGTAATCTTCGACCACGACGATAAGGCAAAATTTCGGGCCGTAAGAAGCGCCGATAAACGCACATTGTTTGCCTCTCGAGTAAATACTAATTTTGTTCATCACCTTGATGGAAATCGGCAGAAAGGAAAAAACCATACTTACTTGGCAGTTTGCATTCGGGCTCTCCAGCACATCGATATTCAGGCTCTCCAGCACATCGATATTTGCACACGCGTTACAATTTAGAAGATATAATCCGTACGTCCCCCCTTTAATTTTTTAAACATACGCACGCTTAATTATTCCCCCGGAACAAAAATCTTTCCGGACAGACAGACCAACACATCCTCACTCTAAGAATACCTATTATAGGTATATGTCAAATGCCGTAAGAATATGCATAATACATAGTTCAAGCCTCAAACACTTGTAGGACCCAGAGCCCAGAGATTGGTCCGCGTGTATGTTTATTCACGGTTAATTATTCATTACATTGATTCATAATCATAATCGCGGAATTTGATCGCGGAATTTATTCGCGGCACAAATTTAGCGGCAAAATATAAATTCTTGAACAATATTCACCCGAAATTCATCTGATCGTGTTATTATTTTATTGAAGCAATGGCAAATGTTAACACAGAAAACGCACAAATGCAAATGGTATGATTCTTTGCATAATAAATTTGCATATACTGATATAAATAATCGTGGATATAACTCATATAAGTACTGTATGTAAATTCGATATTCAAATTGCCTTTGCATAACACTGACTGTCGCGTTCTCAACACATCACGAGGTTGCTGATGCGTCAAGTTCGCATGTTTTAACCACTCAGTTGTGCACAACACTCCATTTTTAACATTGATTTATTCAACAAAGGTACACGTAAACAGAGCGGTAAAAACTATGAATAATACAAAGAAATATGTAAATAAGAGCTAAAACTGCGACTAAAATTGTATGAAAAAGGTGCGCAAATAATCATGACGTAACTTACTTCTGATATCGACGATAAACTTAGGCTATAAGGTAGAAACTTGTGACTTAAATCAAATTTAAACTTGCTGTATTTTCTCGATCAAAGACAAAAACGTGTTCGCAACGTTTCTTATTTTGTTCCGCGCGTCCGCAGAACTCTGACCAGCGGCAGTTACTGCGTACTTTATTTAACTAAAAAATATAAACTTTAATAAACGTCACACTCCTCGTCCAAGGATGATTACATCCTTGCTACTTTTCACCGTCTTTAACTTTATCTGCAGGAATGAGAAGAATCAGCTCCTTAATGGGGCGAAACATGACTTTTTTCTGGCCGTCTCTCTTGATCGCGATGTACGCTTTTCTCACCTTTCCGTCTTCACTTTTTACGGCGTCCGTCACTCGTCCGAGGGGCCAGTCATTACGATATTCTCCATCCTTCATTAGTACGATGTCTCCTTCGATGAGATTTCTCTGCGGCTGGTTCCACTTTTTCCTTGACTGAAGAGATTGGAGGTACTCTCGACGCCATCTCAGCCAGAACTGGTCTGCGAGGTACTGTACCCGCTTCCACTGACGTTGTGCGTACAAATCCGTAGGTAGGAAGTTGCCAGGTGGAGGACCTAAAGGACGGGTCTTCATGGTAATCAACATAGCGGGTGATAGAGGCTGTGGATCGTCAACGTCCGTTGGTATAGCGGTTAGCGGCCGAGCATTGACAATTCCTGTTACCTCCGCCATCAAGGTTGACAAGAGCTCGTGGGTTAGCTGAGCCTTGCCGAGTTCAACGAACATGCCCTCCAAAACGCGACGAATGGTCCCGATCTGCCTTTCCCATACGCCGCCGAAGTATGATGCGTGCGGCGGATTTAGTTCCCACTTGCAACCTTGTTCTGTCACGAACCTTTCGATCTTTCCAAGCTTCATATCGTTGAAAGCATCCTCTAACTCCGATTTCCCTCCGATGAAGTTCGTCCCTCGATTGCAACGAAGTAGTGCCGCCTGGCCTCGTAGTGCGAAGAAGCGCCTGAGAGCACAGATGAAGGCACTTGCATCCATGGACTCTAGGACCTCGATATGTATCGCTCTGCTTGCAAGACAGGTGAATACCAGACCCCAACGCTTCGACTTGGCCGCACCGCCTCTAGTTTTCCTCGTATGTACTTCCCATGGACCGAACACGTCAAAACCGACGTTGGTGAAGGGGGGTCCAACCTCCATTCTGTCTGCAGGTAGGTCGGCCATCTGCTGCTCTAAAGGTCGGCCCCGTAATTTTTTGCAAGTCACGCAGGAATGTATTTCTTTCGATACAACTCGGTATCCTCCAACTATCCAATAGCCAGCTTGGCGAACCGCGCCCCGGGTGATGGACCTCCCTTGATGATGCACTTTACTGTGGTGGTGTCGTACAACCAGGTTGGATACGTGGTCGTTGCGTGGCAAGATGATGGGGTATTTCTCTCCTAACTCGAACTCCGCTCGCCGCAGACGTCCGCCAACGCGGAGTATTCCATTGCTATGTGATGTGTGATATCGGTATCGATTTTGTTATAGGGGTGTAGAAAAACTGTATTTTGACAGGCATCTAGTGCCGAAGACAAACTTCTAGATGGATTTATTGCATGAAACTTTGCACACTTGATGAATTTGCCAATTCAAGTATTATTCTAAAATTTCAGAGCAATCGAGTTAATAGAAGTATGTGATGTGTGATATCGGTATCGATTTTGTTATAGGGGTGTAGAAAAACTGTATTTTGACAGGCATCTAGTGCCGAAGACAAACTTCTAGATGGATTAATTGCATGAAACTTTGCACACTTGATTAATTTGCCAATTCAAGCATTATTCTAAAATTTCAGAGCAATCGAGTTAATAGAAGTATGTGATGTGTGATATCGGTATCGATTTTGTTATAGGGGTGTAGAAAAACTGTATTTTGACAGGCATCTAGTGCCGAAGACAAACTTCTAGATGGATTTATTGCATGAAACTTCAGTTCCAATTCAGGTATTATTCTGATGTTAGCATAATTATTGCTGACAGAGTTTTACAAGGATTGTTTATATTATTGAAAGCGTTTTATCTCATCCCATCCTATGCATAGATTCATAAATACGAGAAAATAACACCAAGGCTTCCAGTCCCCCGACATCATGTCGTATTAGCTGCTCTTTGGCAGGGGTATCATGGGTTGCCACCCACTCACTGTCGCTGGATTTAGGTGTATCTTATGCTAAATTTAATATTCATAGTTCAGGATCGATTTCAACAATTTCCTCGTTTTCTTCACTTGCGGCAATCTCCTCATCGTCCTCATCATCTTCTTCCTCGCTATCAATATACTCATCGACGTCCAACGTCCCGTCAAGCGTTTTTTTAAAAACAGCAATCGCTTCTCTTATCATTTTCTTGCAGAAAAACATCCCAGATTTAATTAAAGCTGCTTCACCAGCCATCGCAAGGCGACTGCAACGCAAAGCTCTGTATTTTCCCTATATACACATGTCACAGTTAAAATGGTTAGTGCAATCAAGGTAAAAATACAAATAACATAATTATCTAAGCTAGACTATTTGATATTTTTAAATTTATATACCACTCGCTTGTTCAGGGCGTATACCTGTTCTGATTGTCGAATATCCTCGTCAACATCCTCATCAAGCAAGTCGTCTAAACCCGGTAAGAAAAGATAATTATTTTTGAAACTGATATTATAAAGTCACCATTTAAATATTATCATGACTGGTCACCACTTTTAATTCTTTATTGAAAAAACCTCGAGTGTCAATGTCAGACCTACCGTCGCTCCTCCCTAAAAATTACTTGATAGTAATTACTAAAAATGACGTTTACGTACTTAGGTATTATTTTATCTACCAACCATTAATAATGGAACGTAATCGAGTATCAAGACTTGGCAAAATGTTGTCTTTGTAGTAACACAAAAATTTGTACATTTCATCTTCCAAAAGACCCAGTTCTTCTTTTAGTCGAATGCCATTAAGGTACACTTCAACGGGTTTTCTTTTTAAGCGTAAAGATAGCGCCACTAAATCGTGTGAGAAACATAATTTTACCGAAATATGAGCACTATAAATATAAACATACAGTTCTTCGCAACAAACAGTTTTTCTCTAAATGTTCGCATATAACTGATTTACAATACAGTCCCAAATTGAGTTGCAATTACCTGATAATTATAATGTATGTAGGTATGTATGTTTGTATGTATGTACAGTACCTCTGTTGTCTTGTGGGTCAATCCAAGGAAAATTACCATCCAAAGCAGTCTCAGATGTGATATCATCTTCTTCAGGACCAGTTTCTAACAACCGATTTACCACATTATATTGCGTGATGGAATCGCTAAGTTTTTTCTTTTCCAGAGCATTTTTGCTACGCAATCTAGCCCTTTGTTTCGACGAATCTGAAACATTCCAACAGTATATTAAATACATACGTACTTTCATTTAAAACATTTACATTATTAACTACGACCACAGTTTAAAGTTTCTGTTATTAAAGTTCCTGTTAAAATAAATGTATACTTAAACCTGCTAGGCGGCTAATATTTTTCTTTCGCTGTGAAATAGAAAAGCATAACATTTCAATCTCTTCGCGAATAGAAATTCTTTTTCTGACAGCCAAAAGATTTTTCCCCTCTTGCAGGGCTTGTTGCTTCCCTAACTCATTTCCAACTACACATAGAGTCGATTCAAGGTTTCTTAATTTCTTTTCTTTCTTATCCATTTCCTGATGTTTTGCCAAGGCTTGAGCATACAATCCTGAATTCCCGTCGTTTATTTCTGTTTCAGCTTCATCACCAGCAACATCGAGGAACGGCTTCAAAGCGATAGCTTCGCGCACTTCGGTATACAGCTCATAGTAAGAAACAAGATCACCTTCACGCTTCGTCATCTCAAACTTCGACCCTGGAAACACAAATGTAAGTACAGGTAACTATAGTTAGTCTATAGCCCTAATTTAACGGGATAAAATTTCAAGCGAAAGGCGAAATATTTTGCCTGCTTCTTTTGAATTGTGAGCAATGAAGCAGAGTTAATTTTTTCAAGTGGTCGAAATTCAAAAGAAACAGGCGAAATATTTCGCATTTCGCGGAGAAAAGGCGCCCGTGGAATTAGGCCCTATAACCGGCATTGTAGAGCATGTACACGCTACTGTCTGTATAGTAGTTTGCGAGTTTTAAACATTCCACCTGATACACCTCACGCGTTTGAATCAAGCAAGTTGAAATGAATAAAATGCGTATAATTACGTACGTTTCCCACACGCTGTTATTTCAGCAGCCCAATTACCGAACTCTTCACGATATGCTGAAAGATTTAGCTCGTTTACCAGCTCATCAAGTTCCTTCTTATTTTCTTCTATTAACTTCTTTACCTGTCACAAGAGAATTGAATTATAAATATCAAAAGTCTTTTTAGTTTACTGAGAAAAACTATTGAATAATAAAATTTACGAATAAACAAACATACATATTTCTTGCAAAGAGTGATTGGCAGCTTAAGAATCTTTAACTTGTTCCAGTGAAGAACATGCTCCGTTAGTGCTTCATTGCGACCTGTCGTATATAAATGAAAAAGCTTAATCCGTCAATGGCAAATGTAAGTCTTCAGAAATTAAGAGGTAAGTAGTCTAATGTAACAAAGTGTTGAAAACGATGAAAAATATAACATTTAGACATTATAATCAATAAACCACAGCAAATTCACACGCAATCAATACATTTTACAGGAAACCTAAAAATTCGAACAGCTACGTACCTGCTGCATGCATGTATTTTGTTGTTGATCCCAATCTCGAGATGTAGCTGTTGATTTGCTCAACCTCTTCACCTGCAGTGTAACCACTTCCAATTTGCCAACGTCCACCCCATGTAACCTGAAAGGTATGAACATTATAAGTATGCAATTTGAATGATTCTCCTAATTAAAATTGGTTAACATTTGTTTTATTAAAATACTGGCAAGACCAAACATGAGCTTTACCATGCATGAATGTATAATGTGGGCCATCAAAAAGGCTTCATCAGGTGACAAATCTTTGGGAAGCGAAATAAACCAAGGCCAGTACTTACAAATCACATCTTGCCATAAGAACTTAACTTTATGGTGAATTAGTCGGTTGATTTGCAAATAATGTGTGTATCCATACAGTTCACCTTGATGCATATTCACAGCAGATTGAGCCAGAGAATGTCTACAGCCTGCTACAACAAGACCAGTTTCATCAAGTTTGGATTGGCGGTTGACCGTATTCCTTGCAGCTTTCCAATGAGAGGAACCACAATAGGAATTACTTGAATGACCCTAGGAGGATTGAATATGATTTATAAGTATAACTCTTATGCAGTTTTGGTATATTATTATTGTACACAAAACTGTTATCATTGCACAATTCTCCATAATTCCTCACAATCATGATCATACCTTAGCTGAGTTGTTGGAATAAACATTGTTCAAGTGCTCCTCTACCAGTTCATCATCTTCAATGAATGTATTTTCATAGTAGCATTTTCTTTCACCTCTATAAACAAATTACATAAATCATGGACATTTGGTCAGTATGATTTTAGCCAGGCAACAACACAATACCTTGGCACACTGTTGTATCTATAAAGTTTAGCGTTTCCATCAACATGACACGAATGTTGGGATCTAAAACATGATGGGCAATTTGCCCATTGTTTTTCTTGTAAGATGTCAACTTCATGCATGGCAAAACACCATTCTTTGAATGCACGATGAAACACTGATGTGTTGATGATACCTGACTAAAAATTGATCAAGAAGATTATGCACAGTTTTAGACCACTACAGGTACAAAATTTGATTGATCTATGTACAGTGACCTAAGTATGATTTACTAACCCTGCCCTTTTCACTAGATATGGAGGCCAAGGACCTAAGAAATGCTGTCTCAGATGTGCCTGGCATATACTTTCGCAGTGAATCCCAAACTCTGAACACATCTTCACAGAAGATGTAATTAAGATTCTTTGGGCCACCTGGCCAATACCCTTCATTAATTATCTTCTCCAGTGTTAATGGTGAGAACTGTTGATCACATCCAGTGCAACTGTATGTGAATAAATACAAATCAAATCTTCCTGCAAGAAAACATTGAAAATCAAGATAAGCTGATAGTAACTACAATTTTAGAGCACATGATGTAGTGCACACCACTGTACAACACAGCTCAACTCGTACCTTTGGCTGTTATAAGAATGCACATTTCATTAGAGGGGATGATAGAAAGTGTATCCTGGCCCTTGCAATAAATACATTCTTTGCAAAATAAAAATGGAGCATATCTTCCTGTAAAAAATGTAATAATCAGTCTATTTTATACAGTATAAGATTACTGAACCAGTACTTGTAGTATAGCTGAAATGATTGTATAAAAAATAAATGCATGCATAGCAATATTTATAATTGATATATTTCACAGTTTCTGGAACAAGATTATCAAGAATATAGTCAGCATCTGAACAAACCAATGATAATTTTTGAATTAATAAATTTACAATAATCACTTACTGTTGAAGCCTGGAGATCCATCTGGCAGGACTGTTTCAGTTGGAGGAACTGCTTGATAAAATCCATTTATCCAAATATCACGGTCATGCAAAGGTTTTTTCTCATGAGCTGTCTCATCACAATTGTTACAGAGTAATGCATCTGGTCCACAGTGGCGACACCGAACAACAGCTCTGTCTTCTCCGCACAAGAAGCAAACAGCCCCAGTTTTAGGAATTGCTTGACTTTTTAAAACAGCAGCAAATATAGCAGATCTACTATTTTCCCATGCAGCATCCACAGACTGCATTCTTCTTGTCCACATGGACTGGGTACTGGACTTCATTTCTTGAGTCAAACTTTCACAATTTGCTATACAGGTGGTCAAATTTTCTACAAATTATAAATAATAGACTTTGCATATGAATTGCACAGTAATGCTTGCACGCCAGCGTTGAGTAGTATTCGTAATAAGTAGTAGTAATAAATGAAACATCACAGTATATAGGGATGAGACTAACTTCTTTGTAGAGAAGCATCAGATGATTCTTCATTAATGATGTCAAAATCAAAACCACTATCTGATTCAAATGGGCAAAGGTCAACGTCGTCGCTCTCTAAAGATACAATAATTATTTACTGTGACAGCGCTATCACGCAATATATATATATATATATATTGCGGATATTCTATAAATATTATGATTAATTTACCAGTGACACTACTAGTTTGGCCAGAGGTAGCTCGCTTTTTGCTTTTTTTGCGTTCAGCAACAGAGCGGTATTTGTAATTGGAATCACGTATTCTTTTACCACTGCTATCGTACGTGAGGAAGAAGTCGCTCTGCTTTGGGGTCTTTTTTTTCTCTATTGTACCGGTTAATTCGCGTAAGTTTTCTAAACTAGCCTCCAAGGAAAGTCGTTGTTGTGATGACCGCTTTGACGATTTAGCGCACTCTTTGGCAGCCGCCATATTGTGTGATATTACCATATGGCGCATCACGCGGACCAATCTCTGGGCTCTGGGTCCTACAAGTGTTTGAGGCTTGAACTATGTATTATGCATATTCTTACGGCATTTGACATATACCTATAATAGGTATTCTTAGAGTGAGGATGTGTTGGACAGACAGAATCAAATCCAAATTTCGACAATACATAAATGCGCGCAAAAGCCTGGGTCGAGTGAACTCTGGAGAAACATCAGTACGTCCAGAATAGTGTCACAGAGCATACAGAGGTTTGACTTGGCATTAATTATGCGTTCCTAGCGGCCATGTTGTTAGCCAGTGCGCTAAAGAGAGGCCCTATCCCCCCCGAACATTATAAATAGCCATCGCTATATAAATAAACAGATCGCTCCCACTTCTATACTCTTCTATACTCTTCTAAAGGATAAGAACTAACAAAATCTGGTTTTGAGAAAAAAATTGAGCAACGTTTTTGTCAAAAATGCGATTTCTCCAGATAGTTCTGTCTCGGCTGTTTATATTCCATTATGTGTTCAAGCCGCCGCCATATGCTTTCCCGGGGGGAGAAGGCCTCTCTTGAGCGCACTTGGCTAAGCGAGGGGTACGCAAAATTAACGGCAGTCAAACCTCTGTATGCTCTGTGATAGTGTGCTGCCTCGCTGAGGCTCGGCAGCAAATATGATTCAGCTACAACTTTGAACTAAAAAAAACAGGGCTACACAATAGCCATGAAAATCGTAATGAGCGTGATAACTCTGGATAACTCTAACATTGACCTTATCATGATGCTAATAAGCTTAACATTTGCCTTATCGTTTGATAATTTTGAGCAAAGCTCTCTTTATTATTGTATAAATGTGTACCAAATGGCACTGAATAGTCACAATGTATATCGATGACTTATATTTATGATGATTCCTCTGATGTAAAGCCATAATATTTAAAAAATATAGCATGTTAACATTGATCTTATCATTATGCTAATTAGCTTAACATTCACCTTAGATCATTTGATAATTTTGAACAAAATTCCCATTATTTTTGTGTAAATGTGTACTAAATGTCACCATATAGTCACAAGACATATCGATGAGCTATATTTATGACGAATCTTCTGATACAAAGCCATAATATTTAAAAAATATAACATCTTAACATTGACCTTATCATTATGCTAATTAGCTTAACATTCACCTTATCATTTGATAATTTTGAGCAAAACTCTCTTTATTATTGTATAAATGTGTACCAAATGGCAATAAATAGTCACAATGCATATTGATGACTTATATTGATAATGATTCCTCTGATGTAAAGCCAAAGTATAGAAAAAATATAGCATGTTAACATTGACCTTATCATTATATTTTGTTGTATAATGTTCACTCCCCCCTGGTAAATGGTTCTTTTGCAACAAATAGACTCCTTAAGTAGATAAGTTAAAAATAATGGGAAAATAAAAGTGGCATCTTAACATTCTACTTATCATGTAGTGTGGACGCGGACGGGGACAAGGACGGGGACGGGGACGCCAAGACTATAGCAATAGCTCTCTTGCACTAAAGTGCAGGCGAGCTAAAAATGGTTTGGTTTCTCGAATAGTAAATGAAATACGAGTATTGTATGGTCAGACGGTTGGTAAAAAGTGCCCTTTGCCTTTGTCTAAAATATTTTAACCAAATTCAACATAGGCGATAAAAATAAAAAACCTAATAATGCAACTTGTAGTTTTTGACTACACACTTATGTTTATGTTCCAACAATTACCTCAATAAAGCATGTATAGTTTATGAAAAAACACAGAAATGGAATGCCATTGAGAAATAACGTTCATGTACATTTGTTCACACCAATCAATCACCATGAACGCACACATGGGCGAGTAAATATCGACTCGACAAAAATGAAATATTGTTTAAATTCAAAGCTTTTTAACCTGCAATTGCGATTCAGCTAATTGACAATAAAATAAAGTTGTGTAGAACAATTAAACTTTGATGGCTGACCGAAATATTCCTGTGTAATGATGATACGTTGTTCAATATTAAATATTGAATCTCGGAAGTAATTAACGCGGTAACTGACACTGAGTATAAAATCCTCTCGGATTGCGCTACAGAAACCAGATTAACACTGTCTTCCAAACTGATACGAGGGAAAGATTTTAAAAGTTTCTTTCAAAGAAGAGTTCAGGTAAAATGCTTCTTCTTTCATTAATAATACATAATGTATTCAAGAGAACATATTAGCAATATTTGAACAGATTATTAGACTATGAGATATAAAAATTTATTTATGAGATCATTCTTGCCCATGCAGTTAGTTGTAACATATGGTGGTTCGTATAAAAATCTTCTATAATGATCTGGAATGAGTGATCGAAAATTTTAGTTATATATTTTTTTCTGTATGGCTCTGTACTGTTAGAAACTACTCGGAATACTAGTTGAGCACTTGAGCTAGCCTATTGGACAAGGTAATAGTTATCAATAACTGTCCGAAAGTTGAAAGCAAAACTTTGAGTCATGTGAAAATTTGAATTTTGCTTGAGCATGTATATAAATGCTTGAATGTTCACACATGAGTTCTAAAGAGGAAATGTATGAAGGAATTAAGGATACCTCTGAAACATATTTTACTATATGTTTAAAAACTTAACCTTAATGATAGTTTAAGTTTTGAGTACTGTACTTAATCTTGAACAAAGATATAAGTAATTAAAAATTTCAACAATATTTCTTTCTTTTTTATTAATTGATGCATGCTTTTCTTCCTAATTGTTTCCTTTAACAACTAAGATCAGACACTTGTCTCATTACAACTCACGCGAATGCTGCATGATACTATACGACTTTAACTAAACGTCGCAGCTTAGGTTGGCTGCATATAATGGTCAAATATTATTGGGTAAAAGCTTTCATTTTAAACGATATGTTCTCTAAATATACGTTTTCTTTCACATATAACAGCACATACCGATGTTAACGACCACATCTGAAAACAAACGAATCAATGGTTTCTTCTTTCTTGCCGTATTTTTAGACATATTAGAGACCTTTAGTTTGACGTTTACGGCAAACGCCAAACCGCTAGCAAAGTTTGTGTTTTAACTCCACTCTCTTTAAGTGTGCGGCAATTTCGCTAAATTACAAACGTTCTACAAAAAACTTGTGATGTTCAGCAGGAATGTAAAAAGGCAATAGGCTATTTCTGATGTATTTAGAAAAGTAGCAAATTCAGCTTTGCCGTATATGTTTCACGTTCGCCGTATAAAATTTAATGCCTGAACGTCTGAGGGTGTTTGCAGTCGTTCAAGCATTAAATTTTATACGGCGAACGTGAAACATATACGGCAAAGCTGAATTTGCTACTTTTCTAAATACATCAGAAATAGCCTATTGCTTTCCTACATTACTGCTGAACATCACAAGTTTTATGCAGAACGTTTGTAATTTAGCGAAATTGCCGGACACTTAAAGATAGCGGAGTTAAAACACAAACATTGTTAGCGGTTAGGCGTTTGCCGTAAACGTCAAACTAAAGGTCTCTATTGCTCAAGTTTCCTTCAGTAGTTATTCTAAGTAGCCAAATAGTTAAACCTTTGCAGTAATTTCACATTCATTTGAGGGCGTTGTTACATATTATCATGTCTATATCACAAATACGCACTCTTTGGAATATTATTCTCTCATTATTTTGAGCGAAATTGTTTATGAATATTAAGAATATTGTTTGTGTTTGGAAATTTGCATTGTGTGAAATTAGAAGATAATTTGGATATCGGGAAGGTCTTTAGAGACGTTCTCCTTACCCATGCATTCGGCGAATTGATTTACAAGCAGGAAAAATAAACTGCTAGAAGTTATTACTAAATTATTATTGAAAATGACAACTGTGCTATACTCCTGATGGGCGGGAATACTGCATGGGAAACACGATAAACTTTCATAAGTCAGGAAAAATCAGTTGATTGGATTACCGATATATAAGGCCTGAATAAACATGTTAACGTGAGAATTAGCCAAAGGCAAAAATCCTCCAAAAAAGTGTTATAAAAACCATGGTAACTTGTTTGCTGGCATGCATTTAGCAAAAAATTTGGACCTCATGATGGAGAAATCAAGGTTCATAAATTGCGGAATTTTCGCATTCTGAACAATATCTCATCCCACGCTCAATGCCTTGGCAACTCAGTGAAACGAAACGGGTCGCTTCTCCAGAACGACGCCACTTAAATTATAAAATGAGTGGGATTAAACCTCACGGTAACCTCTCCAAAAGAAGCGCGATAAACAGGACGTTATACACACCTTCTTTTAAGAAAGGGTAAACACATCGCTATTGAAGCAACGTTGAACGCATTGCGATATATTCACACAGAATTGACGCTCGCGTTTTCAAGTTGGTAAGTTACTTGCTACAATATCTAAGATAAGTTATTTCTTTTTGCATGCATGTGCATTCTGTTATCAAAAAATTTTGAGATTTACAATCTGTGATGTTCATTCAGCTCATGGCTGCAGAATTTGCGGCTCTCAATCGATGAGGATGGATGAAATCTCATCTTTAACCTTTAACGCACTAAATCATGCTGAGAATCTCCTAACTTTGGATATAGATTTAATATTTTTTCATATATATCATGCGGTGAGAATATTTATCAGCTATAAAACATGAATGAAAAATATCGCATGTAACTATAAAAAAAATGTTATCACGTAACTACTTTTTTGATTATGTTTACTATGGGGAACTATTATATCATGCACATATATGGTAATATGGTATACTGTATACATATTGGTTATAATAATATATACGCATTATCATTCTTCCTGTGAACAATTAGTTTAATGAAATCACAATTGAAATAACTTGAGTCAATATTGAATCGGGACTGTACGGCGCTGCATGGCCATTGACTGAACTTAAGGCAAATTCCTATATCTATCAAGTATTTTAAAAAAACTCTGTAAAAGGGGATCTTGGCTGAGCATAAAAATAAAAGCAAAATATTTAATGCACCAAAGACCGAAAATAAATCTTAAATATTTAAGGATGAATAATTATATCAACAATTAGGTATGCATGAGATTCGAGGTACTTTTTTACTGTTGGAGTAATGGATAAAATAATTTTCATCCAAGCGTCAACAGGATACTCAGTGGCAGCGAGGCTAGCTGACCGCATTACATTGCCGCAAACCTGAACTGTTAACAATTGTATCTTATAGTATATTTTATATATGAACATGTTAATAACTGCCTCATATTGATTGATGTGGCTTCCCAGGAACTCTGGCAGAGAGAAGAGTTTGATTTGTAAAAATAGAAATGATAAAAACAACAACACTATAGTTACTATTGAGATCGTACTTATCGTACTGATTGCTTATCCAATGATTTTCCTAGCGTCTCCAATTTTCGAGCACAAGCGCGGAAATGTACCTGTTTCGATTTCTGGTAATCCTTTTGTGATCGTTGGAGCAGAGTTCAGACACTGTTTACATGGTTCTGGAAAGGTACAACGCATTTTTTTACAATTATTTTTTACACAATTATTTTTTTTTTCATTACCAAAGTCTATATATAGGATGCGATAGGTAGTTGGAAGCCAAAGCCTGTACACGAGCACAACTACGGAAGGAATCGAATAAAATTACAAGGAACGCGAAAACTAAATTGTTCGGCTGCTGTACAACTACGGCATATTGAAGTATTCGACGACTTTGAATTACCAAATGATTTGCCTACTCCTAACAGCATCCGAATGGCCAAAGAGAAAACGCTAGAAAAGCTTAAAAAAAACTGGGTTCAAATGAGGCGTTAAAGACATCTACACGACACTACTTGAAAATCCCTTTAAGCAAGGAGCATTCAGGGCATCCAGTTGGAGAAAGTTCGTCGGTAAACCAAGTAATTGAAAAAAGAATCATCGAACGAATCTATGATCTCGCAAAGAAAAATGTCACTGGTGTAAAGGAGGTTAAACGATGTCTGGACGAATTCGTGGAAAAAGAGCTATTTTCTGGTGCTCCGAAACACACGTGGCCAAGGAAAACAAATCGCAGATACTATCCGAGTTCCAAGGACTTACGAAATCATATTTCAAAAGCTATTGCCGCTGGAAAATAGTGCAACGATGACCAAGAGTCTCTTCTTCGAAAGATAACTGATTTAAAAAAGTCTTCGCCAAGTACAAGATTCTTCCTGCGAACCCAAGAGGGCGAACCGAACTATTTTGGTGCCAGCGTGCCCACTAACGACAGCGATAATTTTCTTTTTGTTCATCAAGAAGAGTGGCAACAAAAACTTCTTCTGAAATATGGAAGCGATCTTGTCCTACTTGACGCGACGTACAAAACCACGAAATATGCCATGCCGTTGTTCTTCTTGTGCGTAAACACCAACGTTGGCTACAAAGTAGTTGCTGAGTTTATGTGTCAACACGAGGACGAAACGTCCATATCCGAAGCCTTGGGGATCTTGCGAGGATGGAACCGGGACTGGAGTCCAAAATACTTTATGGTGGATTTTTCAGCCGCTGAAATTGGGGCGATCGAAACGTGCTTTCCTGGTGTTATTGCATATATCTGTGATTTCCACCGTCAGCAGGCAATCCAGCGTTGGGTCAGATTGGGGAAAAACGGGCTTGATCAGAGTGACCAAGAGTTTCTCCAGAAATCAATGACAACAATTGGCAGAGTTGCAACAGAGGCGCAGTATAACGACGAGTTATCCAAGCTTCGCCAATCAATGCTCTATAAAACAAAGGGAAATGTGAGAAGTTATGTGGAAAAAACGTGGATCGCTTGTCATTTTCGCTGGTGTCACGCCTTTCGAAAATCACAAGCATTAAACATCGTCAATACCAATAACGGAGTCGAGTCTATGAACAGGCTATTCAAGTACGACTACCTACCCAGATCCATTGACAAATCACTCTACGGCATCGTCGTCATGATTGTATGTTCTTTCCTGCCAGATTCATATCAAACCAACCTAAGTGCTAACTTACGTTTGAGCGGTTCATACCGAAAGTACAACGCGATTGTTCATGACTACCTGCAAAACCGTCCACCAAACTTCGTTAAACATTGTCTTAAAAATAAATTCGCTGCCCAGGAGATCCAGGAAAAGGACATTACTTGTTTAAACGATCAACAAGGGAAGTTTCTGGTCAAAAGTTCAAACAAGAAACTGAGCTACCTGGTTAAATTCTCATTTTCGAGCTGCACATGCGAATCTTGGAGGCAATCCACTTTTCCATGCAAGCATTTCTTTGCGATCTTTAATTTCTTTTCCAAGTGGCAATTTTCGAGCTTGTCTTTGGCCTATCGAGAAAGCGTCTTTATTACACTAGATACTAACGGTTTTCTAATCATTCCACCAACTTCCATAAAGAAAACAGTAGATCCACCTGAAACTCCAGACGTAACTCCAGAGGGATCACCACCGGACTTGCAAGCACTTGGAAGCAATCAGTCTTTGTCTGCAAACAATTTCACCTCACCAGTAGAACCCGGCACTCTTGCGACACTCAAGAGGCAGTTTCAAGATAAGCTCTCTGGACTGAAGAATATCTCGTTTTTGGTAGAAGATGCGAAGATGCTTCGAGACGCGATAAACATTGCTGACAATCTACAAGTGGCACTTCGCTCAACTTGTCCAAAGGTAGATGGACTTTTTCTTAGAAGTAGCCCTGAAAAGAAGAAATTGAAAATTACATCAACAGATTACCATAAAGTATTTCATAAGAAGTTGTCTCTTAGGAAAAAACGGAAGAAGATCGTTTCACCAACAAATATCAACACAAATAAGGTAAAAAATTTTTTTAAAAAATTAAATGACTCTTCCCCACCTACAATACAGAAAACAACCATTTATATCGCTGTTACAACAAATTTTATTGATCTTCTTTTACAGGAATTACTTGTACAAGAGCACCCATTCATTGATCTTACTCTGGACCCACCCAATGAAGAGTTATCCGATCCTGACACAAAACCATTACTCGAAAACAGGTGCATATACTATCATTTTTAAGTCTCTGTAATGCTTGTATCTATATCGTTATACTCAGTTATTGCTCAGATTACAGAATACCTGAACCCAAAATTGAGAATAAGATTCTTTAACAATTAATTTAATCTTTAACGTTTAGCCCTGCGTTATCTCAGATATAGAATGAGAAAAGCACATAAAGAGATTTAGCCAATACAGAGTTTATGGAATGAGCATATTAAATACAGTTTCTTTTCAGCTGTGATTTTCCAATGGAAATTGAAGACATGGTCAAGTCATTAAATGACAGCTCATCCACAACAAAATACCTCTCGCCATACGAAAGAATTATTTACGCGTGCAAGAATGGGTCTCAGAACACAGTACTGGAATTTGGACCCGTGAAACTAAACATATCAGACATGTGCACATTACTCCCCCCTGGCTATAGCATCATGTTCAAGGAAATAAAGTCAGTTGTACACAAAAATTTTGTTCCTGGTTGGCTTATAGATAAGGTAGTTACTTTTTTAAAGTTATATTAAATTTCCAAATAGCAAGTTCACAGAGTGATTTATAAAAAATTGCATGCATGTTCGACAAGATTAAGTTATATAATATCCATAGGTAATCTATGTACACTTGTACAGTACCAATGGTAATTAAATCGCATTGTATAAAGGTGATAGAAGCATTTCTGTGGAAATTACGCATATACATGCAATCCAGAAACGTTCTATGCAGATACCACCCTTTGTGAACTATTCAAAGGCAGTCGAGCACCCGCAGACTATGGTTTGGAGAAAGTTTTAGTGGCATAGAGAAAATGTTTATCCCCATGAACATCACTTCAAACCACTGGACACTGTTGGTATTATGAAACATTCATTTACTATGTTTTGATCATCTTTATGCAGCTAGTTAATATTGTATGGATAATGTTGTTATGATTTACAGGTGATCATTTGCAAAAAGTCACTTCGATTATATCTTGATCCTTTACATCATCATCAACAGCAGCAATCAATAACATTTACAAACAATTCAGCATTAAAGCAACTCATTGACAACATAAGGTATGAAAAAATTTGTGTTGTGCACTGGTCCACATCCCAAAGATGATTAGACTACACTCATATATAATACTGTTTGGAGCAGCAAAGACTTGTAGTTTTTTTCTTTCATCGTGCAATGCAAAGGACAAACCTGGACATATTTATTTCCTAATTTTTTAAGCACTGTGGTGGATATCAAAACTGTTTGGAAGAGCAAGGATTGGGAGGGTATAGAGCCTAGACACTTTGTGCAGCAGGATAACCATAACTGTGGTGTTCTGGTTTGTTTGGTTAGTATCCATCATCATGTAGGTAATTTTAGGACATATTACCAGATAATGTGTTAACACAAATGCTTAAATTTAACTGTATATAAAGTTCACTTGCCTGTCAAAATATTTTTTTATTTTCAGTTTGCACGCTGTATAACCAGGGAAGAACCGCTTGACTAATCTTTTAACATCAATAGTGAAAGAGAGAAACTTGCATATTCACTTTTTGGAAGCTGTTATGATGACTTTGCTGAGTAAGATTCTGTCATTACATTACATGCATGTACACTTGCATATGATATTATTAAATTAACTTATGGACTACTGTAGATATTTGTGCACGTTTCTGAGTAAAATTGTCTGGGATTTAATTAATAATACAAAGAAACCACATCTTCATGCATTAATCGCCAGTGTAATGGTTAACAAACACTACGTCACAGAATAGGTATTAACCAGGTTGATGTAGGAATTAACAGGGTTTATCCCTCTTCGGTGACTATGTGGCAGATACTGTAGTTTTGTTATTATAAAAACCCCATTAACTGTTGCATACTCTCCCACCAGTTGAGGAGGAAATTGTTTGATGATACATTTGGGCATATTGCTTGTGGAAATATATTTTTTTTAAACAGAAGAAAGAATTCACTTTGCAAAGTTTGTAAAGAAGATGATGGGGATGACTGGATTGGTTGTGATGCTTGTGGCCAATTTTTTCATGCCAGCTGTGTCATGTTGGATTATGGTCAAGCATTACAAGAAATGTTTTACTGTAATTAGATAATGCTGGGGCCCAAAAGACCCTGTGGTTCCAGTTTCATATTGTGAACTCTATGAACAACCTGCAATACACTGTATGAGCAACCTGCAACCACCCAAATAAAATAGGCCAGTGGGTTGCACCATCAATGATGTCAAAAAATGTGGGTTGATTGGCAGAAAAAAAATAGGATTGGTTGGGAAGTCGGAACAACAAGTACTTTTTTCTAAGCCCTGGTCTATTCCAATCAGTCACAACAATAAACAATGCAAACCATGCATAAGATAGTTTGGGCTATACAGGGATGTGTCACTTATGGGGCATCTGTCACATCATGCCACCTGACAGTATATAATGTTGTGAATAACATTTTGCCGGTGCTACTGGATGCAAATATTATTTTTGGTTGGTAACGTAGGGGATAGTCAGAGTTATATATAGAAGTGGGTATATAGAGAGAATTTACTCACATAAATTTTTATAGTAGTTGAGAAATATTGCACCTCAACATTTTGTAATAGTTTTGTAAAATCTTTAGTTTGTAAAAAATAATCTCACCCAGTGAAATGAATACAAAGATCCAAAGATGCATATTAAATCCAAATGTGTATCAGCAAAATAGTTGAGGATGTGAATAGACACAGTAAATACTTAAAATAACACGCATACAAAAGTATTTAAAGTTCTGTGCCGCCGATCTGTTTTGCAATATCAATACGAACATGCTACGATTATTTACGAAGAAAAAAACACCGCATACTAAATGTATTGATGTCATCCACAAAGAACGCCCGTGAGGTCAGCCCCGAGTTTCAGCTATCTTGAATTTCAGTAATGGATACTTCATGTAAGGTAAGTATACAGATCATGGGTTGGATGGGAAACATTTTTGGTGCATGCAGAATCTGAAGTTTATTGCGTTATAGTGAAACACTTTTAATACGTTTTTAGCTTGTATTTAACAACAACCATAGTTTACAAAATCTCTTATTTATTAATTCTGGGAGATATGTCCTATCCTAGCCTTGAACAACGTGGAAAACATAATTGGAAGTTGGAATAGAAATATGCCTTTCATGAGACTGCAAAACTATGCAAATCTGCCAAACTGGGTCGGATCGGGTCTAAAGCTTTTAAGCCTTCTTTTAGTATGCGCAACGCATTTAAAACAATAGATAATTAATGAGAATACCTCATTATCTATTGTTGTTATTCGCTCGGAAGAGATGTTTGAAAACAAGCCTTACTGTTAAGTGTCATCAATGATAAAGTGCATTGTCCGTTGGAATGTTTTTCGGATAATAAAAGGACAGAAACTTCGAGGAGGAACTCAGACTTGTGATAATCTCGACGAAAAAAGGATCACTCGAAGAAATTTAGGGCGGAAAAGTTGGAGGAATATCGCTCAGGTACATGCTCATGGTTGGTTAAAATAATCTGTTGGCTTGATCTTTCCATGGCTTCGCAAATCATCGCTATGTTGATTTCAATAGCCAGAAGACAATTAGCGACCGGACGAATACTTCTCACTGATTTTTACTGCTATATCTCGTATTGAAATATATCAAATGTGAAATTCAAGTGAGCTGTTAACTTGATTTTGTTTTTCTTTGCATTTCAGAAGGAACTACGGCGCCGAAAGATGGGAAAGACGAAACACAAGCGCTTGCTCGCTGCGGAATAATAGGTATTGTTCTATTCATATATGTATATTTTGCATTTGTGACTTGAGAAAACACGTTTGTACTTTGTACACGGACAGTCACGGTGAACGAAACTAGAATAGTTTTGATATATAGAAATGAATTCGAACTTTATGACTGAAACTAACTTTCCCGCTGGCCTATTCCGTTTTTCGGACAGGGTTGCCCAAAGGGAATGCTCGTTTTGAAAGGGAAAGACGGATTGAAACTCAATGCCTATACAATTATTTGTATTGGTATATGATTGTACTATGCTAGACTTCCCTGTCCTTTTGTTTTACCGAAGTTCTGTTTTTGTAGAACGAAAGAATCGTAAAGAGATGTCGGACCTGCCTTAGGACATTTATGCACGCAAATACAAAACTCGATTTCGACAGTATGCATGAGTAAAAATTGCATGGAATTTGGCTTTTTTGACTGAGATATAAACTGAACACTCTTCTGTTTACCTCCTTCATTTTCAAGTTTTCCGCCTGTGCATGATTTTTGCATGAAGTCTGGTCGTATCAAGCGCATGCGGAGTGAATACAAGTGATTCTGGGGCCCCAATCACTTGTGTTTTCTCCATCTTGACGGCTATATAGTCCGGACGAAAATATCGCTCAGAGAGCGCCTAAAACATAAAAACATGAACTATGTATTTTTTGAAGGAAATGATAGTCCAGTGTTCTTGCTTTCTTGTACAAAAACGTACATGACATTTTGTACCAAAACGTGCATGACATTTTGTATTAAAACGTGCATGACATTTTGTATTAAAACGTGCATGACATTTTGTATTAAAACGTGCATGACATTTTGTATTAAAACGTGCATGAAATTTTGTATTAAAACGTGCATGACATTTTGTATTAAAACGTGCATGACATTTTGTATTCGCGTGCGCAATGCGAAGGCCACGAGTGACTGACGTTGGAGTGTTGGAGGTTCGGTATAATTTATCCTGAGTGCTTTATACATAAGTGACATTTCTCTCTTGGAAATTATTCATATCATACTTTTGTTGTCAGATGATGAATGATCGTCGCAGGATCAGATGATGAAGGATCGTCGCAGGATCAGATGATGAAGGATCGTCGCAGGATCAGATGTTGAAGGATTGTCGCAGGATCAGATGGTATGGTACATTAATACCTAAGTAATATTTGTGACTTAGAAATTAATATCACATCTTTGTGATGAAGGATCGTCGCAGGATCCGATGTTGAAGGATCGTCGCAGGATCAGATGTTGGACGATGAGACAGTTATATACAAGTAGAAGCTGGTTGAGGTACTATTACATACCATAGGTAGAATAATGCATGATTAATATAGTGCATGGTTTATATATTCCTGCTGGGTGGTCTAACCTAGTAGATTCTTCACACATCAAGTGACTTTTCACCCTTTTCGACAATGCATGATAAAAGGAAATTTCTCACAGCCCAAATGAGGGCGTTTTCGAGGTTTCTCAATAAAATATTCCTAGTTTTGTCACTTGCGTGTGAACGACTTGACAGCTGCGGAAGATGCATGATGGCTTTAAAGCGTTGAAATGAAAGTGAAACATGTATTAGCATGGCTGAAACGCGCGCAACGAGAAAATATTATCTAATTCGTATTGGCCTATAAATCTTAGATTATACGAAAGTAATCCCGAGTACTTATATGATTATATAAGTTTCTCTGCTCAGCCTTTAGCATAGTTGACGCGCGCGCAACGAGAAAATATTACTGAATTCGTATTGGCGGAATTTTTGCAAATAATTCGCATGTAATCGCGAGTATTTTATATCTTTAAATACGTTCTTCTGTTCAGCCTTAGCAAGCGCGACATGCGCGCAACGAAAAAATATAAAATATTATCGAGTTCGCATTGGCCTGATTTTTGGAATAATGCGAAAGTAATCGCGAGTATTTATGTGAGTATTTAAATGCGTTCTTCTCTACATCCTTAGCATGGCTGACGCGCGCGCAACGAGAAAACTTCCTATCGAATTCGTATTGGCCTAATTTTAGATTAATACGAAGGTAATCGCGAGTACTTATATGATTATATAAGTTTCTCTGTTCAGATTTAATTTCGATCGTTTCGTCCGTCAATGGCATAAAAAATTATATTTTTGGAATTATTGAAGTTTGAAATGAAGAAAAAAAAGATGACAATTTGGTGTTTAGACACTAACACTTTCTGTTTTCCTTGTCGGTATTAATTTTTCGGACAGCAATTTCCAAAAATCCGGTTTATCTCGTGCATGGAGGAAATAAACGTAATCTAACGATTTTGACCAATGACGAAGCTTGTAAAAGAAAAATATAACCCCTGTATTACATGATGTATTACATTGCACGATGACAGGACTTGTATGGTGGGGATATCTGGGGGTTAACTGCTCTAGCCCTGTCGTCTAAAAAATGAACCCTTAAATGAAAACCTCTTTGTATTTTGACACACTTACTATGTTGTTTTATTCCTTGCACGCTCCACCGCTGAGACGCTGTCGAAGAAGAACGTGAATGAAAGACAAAGAAGATATTTTGTTTACCAAAAGTAATTATCACGATGCAAAGCAAAAGGTGAGAAACATCATTGATTCTTGTAGTATATTAGATATTGAGTAAGTTGCATGTTGAGCCCAATTACGTTTATTTCCTCCGTGTTCGATCAACCTTAATCCAGAAAATATAAAAATGGTGCATGAGATGGCAGAGATGCATGTCTAAAAAGAAGAGTGTTATTGTCTACATCAGTTTGAGATAAAAAAGCATGCAAGTCGTGAATTTGAACAATGCCAAATTTCGTTGCCGATAATTAAAATAATTTTTGTTGCCATTGTCGGACAAAGTGCAATTTAATTTCTGAAAGCCTGGTGTTTTGCAACAGACGATATGAAATGCGCGCTACGCAGGTTAGACCACCAGCAGGATCAAATTGACGAAGCTCAAGAATTGAATAGCAATTCCTGGGACTCGCATGAACGTGAAACGGTCAACTATTTATAAGCAAAAAAGCTGTGTCGTTGCGGACGATTTCTAGTAAAAATACCAAATTCGGACCGCCGGTCAGGTAACCTGAAATTCAGGTTACCTTTGGAGGGTTTTTCTCCGGGCACTCCGGTTTCCCTCCTTTTCGTTTGGCTTTGAAAAACAGTGTCCATGTCTGGGGCCAAACCAAAACGTGTTCGTTAATAGTGATAAAAACGCGTGTGTGGCTTCTGGGTTCAATTCCCAGAACACTGTCCGGTGTGAGTTCACCTTCTGATCGTGAGCAATTCCTACAAAAATTGTACTTAAATCTAGCTCAGTAGTTTGCGACAAATAAACATGTTCAAGCGTAAGAAGCATCAAGAGATTGGGGGCACCAGCTTCCATGAAGCAGGGCCACTTTTAGTTAATAAAAAAAGCAGCTAAAATTATGTATAGGGACAGTTTGATCGCCAAAGTTGCAAGGACACCACTAGTGTGGTTTATATTTATGCTCTACAGAAAGATTTGGGCACCTGTAAGTGGGCACACGCAGGAAACAAAACGGGCACGATTTTAAAATGGTATTTACAGCCACATTAACTTCTCTAAAAATGCATTTTTCAACATAGAAATTTTTATCCCTTGTGCCCTCCGGTCCTCTGGGCTCTGTCGACCCCCCCCCGCCCGTTCCTACGCCCCTGTTCAGCAGCCTTGTTTAAACCTTGTTTAACAGTTTGGGAATATGTAGCCAATATATATCTCAAAGCAGTTGTGTGATTTGCGAAAACGCTGTTACATTTTCTGATATTTAGGAATCGGAAGTCACAAGGATATGTCCACTTTCTCGCAATTTCCTGTTCTTGGTAGCCCTTGGTGCTTAAATATACAATATACTTCATTATATGTATTTAACGAAGACGAGTATTCTTTTCTACATCACAGTTACATCTTAAATATATCAGGTCTCAGATTCCATCAGTGATTTGTTAACTGCAGTGTTGAAAATATTTGCATGGTAAGTATAAACGTTAACTGAAGTATTTCTTTGAAACAGCTTATATATCAAGATGTATAAATCATATAATGAAACTCTCTGTATAAAAAAAATTAAAGAGAATTAAACTTAGCCGGTTTCCTCTACATCTAGTCTGTAAGAAATAATGCCAATTAAATGTGGTTTAAGTTGTTTGACACTCTTTGCGATGGATTGTTCCTTTAAACTAAAAAAATATTTTAAAAAACAGTTCTACTACGATTTGGTTCCCGCGATAGAATTACGTGTATAGATTAACACAGTCATTAATGTTTTCTCATCCAAGCATGACTTCTTTCGTCGGTGATTAACGAGCCAAAGTGATCTGCATTATTCATTAAATTTATCTTAATTTGTTTAGATTAAGTCAACTTGAATAATTGTAGTCGTACCACTTTGGGAAACATTTGCTACACTACGACAAGAGGATTGACTGTAAAACAAAGATTTACAATGTCGCATTCTCTGACCTTTACCATTCTTTTTCATCTTCTGGGGCTGGTCAACTGTAACCGACATAACAGCGTCATATACCAAGGTATTCTACAAATATTATTGTTGAAAATGAACAGATTACTTAGAATGTCTACTGTTGTTTATTCAGTATCAGACTGCTAACCCAGAGATAAGTTCACTATAAAGTACAAAACGTTTTAAATGTAAGAATACGAAGAAAGCCGTTGAACTTTGACTAAACTTTTTTGTTGAAAACGTCAAAACACTTTCTTATATAATTATGTCTCACAAGCGACATAACGATTTAGGCGCAATTAAATCCGCGCTTCAACAGGAAATAGGATTTGCCTTTCAAACCTGGAACTGAGAAGTGAATAGCGGAGTAAATGCTAACTCACTTTGGTTAACCCAGGGAAATATGAAATATTAACATATTCAATACACGGTAAACAAAGTTTCTCAACATTTAATTAACCTATGGACCTCGTTGAGAAGATTTTATAAACAAAGTTTTACCAGACCATATTTAGTTCATGTTTATAAAATAATCTTGCATGTTATTGCTTTTTCATTAGAAGTAGTGAGTCTCAATCACTCAGTATATTATTAGAGTTACTCACATCAGTCACATGCAATGAGGTCAGTTTTCCTTAGAACAGTTTATTGACTTAGCATTCAGTTTGATCATTCAAGTGTTTCGATCGTCGTCCCACTTTAAGTAAACAATCGTCTTAAGTCAGTGTATATTTCATCAAACATTGCTTGTGAAAGTTGTATCCACACCAGATGTAAATTTTGAGCTGTCTGACTATAGTACCCAGGGTACACAATAACACACATCAGATAAAACGTACACAAACTGATGTTATTCATCACTATTATATTGTCGCACCGACCATAGAACTCCTATGTTATAAAGTTTTTGTTGAACTAAAGTAAAATCCGAACTCAAAGGCTGAGGTTCGTAGGGGTTGACTACCTCACGGGCGTTCTTTGTGGGTGACATCAATACATTTGGTATGCGGTTGTTCACACAAACTGGTTATTTCTTCGTAAATAATCGTAACATGTTCGTATTGCAATCACTTTCGGGACATCATTACATTTGGTCAGCGGAACGAATTTCGAAATTGCGGGAAATATTTAAATATGGCGCCGAAATTTAAATACTTCGCCAAAGCAAATCGGTTCTGATATTAAAACATGGAAAGTGTCGGTATTGATAGTATTGTGGAAAAGGAAGTAGACTTTTTGAAAACGATTTTACAAGATTTTCGAATAGAAGGATCTTACTGTTATGGTTATGTTAACGGAGAG